GACTCGAATTATCTTACGGTGTTCATGTCCTATCTCAATTCATGCACCAACCGCGTCAGGAGCATTGGCGGGCTGCACTCCGCGTGGTACGCTATTTAAAGGGCAGCCGGGTCGGGGTGTGCTTTTAAAAAGAGAGAGTGACCTTCGTCTTTATGGTTGGTGTGACTCGGACTGGGCAAGTTGTCCTCTCACTCGAAGATCTCTCACCGGTTGGTTTATTTTCCTTGGTCAATCCCCCGTTTCCTGGAAAACCAAGAAGCAACATACGGTTTCTCGATCATCCGCGAGGCGGAATATCGTTCTATGGCCAACACGACATGTGAGTTGAAATGACTTCAAGACCTTCTTTCGAGCCTAGGCATTACTCACACCGACCCTATGACTCTCTACTCGTGACAACCAAGCCGCCCTTCACATTGCCAAGAATCCTGTGTTTCATGAACGGACAAAACATATTGAAGTGGATTGTCATCTTATTCGTGATGAAATACAACACAATCATATCCAACCCTCCTATGTGTCCACTCATCATCAACTGGCTGATCTCTTCACCAAATCTCTTGGCGCCACTAAATTTGGTTCTTTTTTAGGCAAGTTGGGCATTCATAACCTTCATACTCCATCTTGAGGGAGGGTGATAAACATAGAATATACGATTACAAATACCAGTATCATGCCATGATTCTACATGATTAATTTTTTCCATATTTAGCTTGGCATGACAGCGATACACAGTGATGCACATTAATGTCATATCTGTTAATAGACAAATTTAGGATACCGACTATAATGGTTAGCGTAATTATAGCCTAGAATGTTTCTGTATTTCATGTATATATTGTGCTATCATATTCAATACAAGACAGGGGTTTTTGGAAATATTTTTATCAGTTTTGCAGCGTCCAACCGACAATATACCTTGTTCAGTCCCACCATATATTCATTTCCTTGAAATATTGAACAGGACATTTTTTAACGTCAAGGTCCAAGTAAAACGCTTACTATAATTTAGAGCGTAGCTTATTTAACCTTATAAATAAAATGTGTCTTTTTAACTGCATTGAAAATATTTCTCTCACTTAATTCTTTCAGCAATAAATATTTACTTATTACTATTTTTTTTATCGACATTAAATTTAATTAATTCAATAATAATAATAATAATATGAACATTGAAGTCCAGTATTTATCCCTGTACAACAAATTAAAGATGAACAAGAAACTTGTATTAAAAATGCATGTTCATATAGCTCATATATTCGCGTCAATGTGACCCCAAAAAAATCAAAAGGTTCTGGAAAAATATAATGGAAGTTTGAAGTACAGTTTTCAACGCTATGCATGTTAATGGCAGTGACTGTTCAGATAGAAAAGAAGTTGAATAATTGGGCATTGGAATGGAGCAACTCTCGTCATAACCAAGTCAACAGAAATGAGAGATTACAGTGTTTGATCGGTCAAAAAATAGCTTAGTGATGTGATTTAACTCATCAATTTGGTCCATAATTAGGTTAAGATATCTGCAATTAGGTCAATCACACCTTCTTAATATCTTTATCTCTTATAATACAGCGTGTATTCATCAATAAACTATTATCGCAATTACAAGAGAAACCTCTTGTTACCTTTTCTTTTTAGTTATTTTTCTTTGTTTTTTTATTAAATTTCGATATTGACCAGGACCACATGACCATTTAAAATGTGGGCTCCCAAAAAATAGCCCATTTATATATATGGACCTGATATACAGAAGTCTATTTAATAGCATATCATTTTATTGGGTTGGGCTATTTAAACCATTTTGTATGATCCACAAGTTGCAGTTAGTCCATGGTGTTTGGATTACAATATTTAATAATTTATGTAAACACATTATCAGACTTTATTTCACGTACTCCACAAAATCCAACGACCACTTCACCTCATTCATCTTAATAAATAAAAAAGATATTGATTGAATTTTCTAGAGTCTATAAAAAAAAAGAAGAGAAAAATAAAACTCACGTCAACCAATCGAAAGTGGAATGCATCAAAATGTCATTTACTTATTAAAATTAGTTTGTTGGAGTTGTAATTCACAAGGCACTTAATTAAGAAAATTCATCCATCAAATTGGTATATGTTGAGTTAATGCGTAACTATTGATGTATATTTATGAAGGTGGTGTGCGTGGTGACGTGCATGAATGTCTGTGGCATTACGCAAGCAAGTTAAAGGCGTATTTTTTTATTTTTTTATATTTTATACGAAAGATATATGTAAAGTAATTTCAATTTAGATATAAAATTAATTTATTGTCAAACGAAGCATTAAATCAAAGAAGTTCCCTTCCATTGCAACACTCAATTGTTTTTTTTTGTTATGCACTTAAATTTGACACGTTCCCTCCCGTCACAACACTCAATTACCTCTCACAGTGAGGTGCTCAACGTGGCTACCAATTCTTCTCAATTCCTCTCATTAATGATGATTCATGTACAAGTTGAAATACATAAAATTAAAATTATGAGTATATTTGTTTAAACTTTTTTGAACTAAATATTTTTTTTATGTATTGGATAAAACTATGTTAAAAAAAAACGGAAATAGAAAAAAATTATACCTCTTTCAAAAAATTCATATATAATAAAATGGTGTGTGTTTAAAAAAAAACACACAAATTTTTACAACAATTACTTAAAAACAAATTACCTTTTTTAAACATTTCTTTAAAGCACAAACATGCATAATCATATACGCAAAGTGAACCATTTTAACAATATATTTTTTAATAATTTTATAATCTACTTTACATTTTGAATCATTCATGATACATACCAATTGAACCTGCGCCCAAAACAATGTTACAAATATACATATAATTGAATAGTGTAAGATCAAAGTATAATGCATTTCATAATTTTGACATAAAATATGTTCAAATTAGTGTATATTAATATATGTTCATAAAAAAAAATCATTTACACCTTCCTTATTATATTATTTAAGGTTAAAATATTTTTATATTCAACATTAGTCTTGATGATTATTTTATTACATTAAATTAGTAGTACTGATACACTAGTTTCAACCCTAATAAATATCTAATTAGGATTACGTGTGAATAATATTAATTTAAGATAATATAATTACCTAACACCAAATACATATTCCTTAAATATGTAAAGTTTAAAAACACAAAAAAAATTAGAAATATAAAATTCAATATAAACGAATTTTATTTAACTCTATTAATAAATAATTCAGTAAAATAAATTAATTTTTTTATTATCTTCTGTTTTCTCGCGGTGATAGGTAGATTATTGATAAAAAAAAAAACAAATTTGTATAAATAAAATAAATTTAAATAGGTAGAAAAAAAATTATTAATACTAAAAAAATTGGTGTCAGTAATTCCGCTTTTGTTAAAAACTGTTAGACAAGTGATATGTATAAATTACATAATCTTTATAAATAAAGTTTAATTTATTACAAAATGACGTTATACGTCACTAACAGTATTAATTAGTTTATTACGAATAGTAATTTATATTTAAATTACCTTATATATATAATCACTCAATATAATTAATTATATTTAAAAAGTTTGTATTAATTTGATGCAAATTTAAAAAGAAAGTAAATTTTCATATCTCTTCAACAATAACAAATATAATTTTCTAATCATTTTTTTCGTTAATATATTAATAAACTATCGTATATTAGAAAGGGAAATAAGACAATAATGTAAGATTTAAATCTTTTAATTATTATAAATTGTAGATTTACCCTCATTTTATAGGGACCCAAGAATCCAAGATCGCCATTTTATTTTGTCTTCTGGGTTTAGTTTATTTTACTCTTAGAATAGAATTGATCTACGTTCCTCCCATATGGATATTTTATTTTCCTAATTAATCATGTATTCATTTTCTAGAAGGAGATCATGGCAAAGATTTCACCACTGATATTATCGAAGGTATTATGCATAACACATATTTAAATAATTAATAATTAAACATTATTAGAGTAAACAAATATTTAAATAATTAATAATAATAATAATAATTTTTTTTTCTTATGGGATGTCCCCTCTTCAAATTTATTGAGTGTTAGGGTTTGTGTTGTATTGGTTAAGACCGCCTGAATCAAGGAAAGACGTGTTCTCAGAAACAGTCGCGCAAAACTGAGCCTCACCTCACCTCCTTAATCGCATCGCTTCTTCCATTCCATTTCATACCTTCATCAAACCGTCATAGCATGTTCTCTTCCTTCTCAGGTTCCCTTTTTCTTCTTCTCTTCACTTCCCCTTTCTTATTTTCTTACCTTCGCATCCGCATTTAGGGGAATTCAATTTTCTTTTGTTCTTTTTATTTTTCGTGCTAGATTTATTTTTTGGCTGTTGTCTACATGCTTCTCTGTTTGTTTGATCGAACGAAACAATCTTCAGCGTTTTTTTCTTTCCGGGGTTGAATTTTAGACTCAGGATCTCTGATGTGGAAAATGCATCTGGAGTTTCAGTAAGAATCGTTGATCCTTTCATTTCTGTGGTAGCAAAAAAATTAGTGAGGGTTTAATCGTGGATTCTTCTGCAATTTGGGGACTATAATTGTAATTGGAGCTGGGTGTTATGCCCAGAGTGATGAAAATTTCATCTCTGACCTATGTTTCTATTTGATTGCCTTCAAGAGGTGGAGATCTAATCTATCATTGGAAATGTATAGAAACAACAACTCTGACCTTCTAATTAAAATGTCTAACCTCATCAAGTTCCCTTCTTATAGTGTGACAACATGTGTTATATTTGTTTTAAACTTTTTTTTTTTTTTTGAAATTTTAAAGCAGGCATTGACTGAGTGGAAAGTAGAGGTAATACCGGCAAACTAGGATTTTATTGGGACTCCAAAAAGTGAGGAACAAATAGTGGGACATATTATATTCTGGATCAACCTTTTCATCCTGTTGATGTCTCTTGGAGGAATGGATGTAAAATTTAATGCTCATCTACGTGTATACCTATTATGGTCATGAGTGAAGAGAAGTCACTGTAGGTAGCATTTCCAAAGTAGCGGTTTACTTATTTACAGTATTTATGGATAGAATAACCGGAAACATACTTGAATCATGTGATTAAAGTATTGTTGTAGTTGACCTAGTTATTATTTTGCACTTTGCAGATATTTGATGCTTAGAAATATAAAGAGAGCTGTTCGATCTGTTCGTAGAAACAATAGCAGATACCTGGAACCGAGTAAAAATGGGCCGATTGTCTCAGTTGGACCGAATATCCACTACTGCCGGTCGTACATGCAATATAAGTTTCCTTGTGAAGCACGTAGTTCATTCTTGTGGCATGGGACAAGGGAAACCTTTCGAAAATGCTGTTCTTTCAGGAACTTTTCTGTAACCTCAGCAAGCAATACAGTCACACATGATTCCAAGATTGCTTTGAAAAGGCTGTACAGAAAATACTGTTCCAGTGGTGATGGTACATTTCCTCCTACCGTAAATATGATTGCTCAGGCAGTGAGTTTGGCCCTTGCTCGATCGTTTTTGCTAGTTCCTGGTGTTATGGCATTGACATGTGGAGATCTAGCATCAGCACAGCGAAGTTGGGCAGATGCAGAACGATACCCATCACAAAATGCTTTGTACATGCATGCACAAGATGGGTATAATTACATGTTTACATTTACATTCATAATAGTTGAAGGACTTATCTTATTAGTGAGGGCTCTCTATCTAGCAATATTATTCTCTCCTAGCATTGTGATGGCACCATTTGCAGATAGTTTTGGACCAAATTTTAGGAAACTGTGGCTCCATGTTGTTCATCGCACACTAGAAAAATCAGGTCCAGCATTCATAAAATGGGGTCAGTGGGCAGCTACAAGGCCTGATCTCTTTCCTAGAGATTTATGCACTAAGCTTTCAGAACTTCATACCAAAGCTCCTGAGCATAGTTTCAGCTACACAAAGAAAACTATAGAAAGAGCATTTGGTCGAAAAATTTCTGAAATTTTTGACAATTTTGAAGAACTTCCTGTTGCATCTGGAAGCATTGCTCAAGTGCACCGGGCTTCATTAAAATATCGTTATCCTGGTCAGCAAGCAAAGCCACTGGTGGTTGCAGTAAAGGTTAGACATCCTGGTGTGGGAGAGTCAATCAGACGAGATTTTGCTATTATTAATTTGGTGGCAAAAGTTTCAAACTTCATTCCTGCCCTTAATTGGTTAAGATTAGATGAGAGTGTACAACAATTTGCAGTTTTCATGATGTCTCAAGTTGACCTTGCCAGGGAAGCTGCCCATTTGAGTCGTTTTATTTATAATTTCCGCAGATGGAAGGATGTTTCTTTCCCTAAGCCTGTCTATCCACTAGTGCACCCAGCTGTTTTGGTGGAAACATATGAGATGGGTGAGAGTGTCTCGTATTATGTTGATGATCTTCAAGGACATGAACGGGTAAAATCTGCTCTTGCTCACATTGGGACTCATGCACTTCTGAAAATGCTTCTGGTAAAATATCTCTCATTTGCAGTTTTTATTGCCACTTTTATCTTGCATATAGGGAATGTAGCGTTTCCCCTTGTTTGTTTTTTGCGCATAGATTTTTTTATTATGCACCATAAAGCATAAGTCATTACATGATTTGTTATAATGCTTGTTTTTATTTTATAAAAAATCACAAAACATTTCTTGTAATAGTCAACACTTTCTAGGAACCGTCTTTACTGTGTGATGAACTGGTTATTGGAGGGTTTCTTTATTGGTTATTTTTATTGAATATTCTTAAAGTTGAGATATGTTCATGTTTTAGGGTTTAACTTATGGTTTTTGTGTGTATGTTCCTTAGACTAGGGTTTTGGGCCGAGGTCCATATCTTCTCTTTTGTATCTCTTTATCAATACAATAGTAAGAGTCTCTTTATACATTGTATTGAAACCCTAACTAGTTTTCTCAATTTGGTATCAGAGTCAAAGTCTAACTTCTTTCCGTTTGTAGTCTTGGGTCATGAGTTGTCCTTTTTATTGTGGGTTAAAAGTATCCTTTACCTTATCTGATAGATTTTGTTGGGGGTGGCATGTTGGAAGTCTCACGTTACCTATCTTCTGTCATGTAGTATGGTTTAAATACTTGTTTGGCTACTCTACATATTGCCAATTGGTTTATGTTGGAATCTTAACAGTTAAGTATGATGAGGATTACTTAGTTATCTGGCCTTGGTTGTTTAGATATTCTTTGTACAATATTTATTTATTGAGTTTTCTTTGTCTTTGTCATAGTGAGTTTTCTTTTTGTTAAAATAATGGTTTGTTTTTTGAATGAACATCTTTGATAAGTTAACAATCATCATATCATGTCCCCTAATCCTTAGTTTGAATGAAAAGAAGCATGAGTTCTGCTAATTGTTTTAAACTTGAACATCATAAAGTTTTAGCTTCCAATCCATTGCAATGTCTTCTTTCAGGTGGACAACTTTATTCACGCAGATATGCATCCTGGAAATATCCTTGTTCGGATGGCACAGAGCAAATCTCGTAAACGGCTCTTCAAATCAAAGCCTCATGTCGTTTTCCTTGATGTAGGCATGACTGCTGAACTCTCTGGTAGTGATAGAATAAATTTACTGGAATTTTTTAAAGCTGTTGCACGCCGAGATGGACGCACTGCTGCAGAATGTGCCCTCAGCTTGTCAAAGCAACAGAACTGCCCAAATCCTGATGCCTTCATTGAGGTATTTTTTTCTTCAACTTCCATTCATTTGTTATTTTAAACAACTTATTTTCAACAGTTTTTAAAATATGATTTTAGTATAGTTTTTGAAAACAAAAAGAAAACAGAAAACGTGTTTGTTAAAAAGATGTCAAAATAGTTTTTAAAAGAATTTTGCATGGGACATTAACATCTGCCAAGTATGGCTCCTGATAATCTACAGTTCCACGTGAAACTGCATGGTGTGCAGTTAGCAACTAAACATTGGAATTAATAAAAATTAATTTTAAATATTGATTTATCATATCATAAAATATGTTAAGTAGATCGGGGTTTATTCATACAGTTCTACTAGAAACTGCAGAGCATCAAAAGCTGCCTGGTATACATTGTACTGCGTGAAGTGCTTTATTACAAGAATACCATCTAATTTTAAACAAATAAACAATAACAAATGAGTTGTGTCTATTTACCTGTTTTCAGAGCTGTAAATTTTGGAACAAATTTCAAAATACATATGTAGAAAACAATTATCCAAACATGTTTTCTTTACTTTTTATAAACTGAAAAGTTTTTTATACTACAATCACTGTATAAGACAAGATCTTACTAATACGGTTTTGTTCTGTGATATCTTAGTCAAAATTTATATGCACAACAAACATATGATACATAGATTGTACTGACTTTTCTGGTTTATTGACTCCGAATGTTGAATATTTTATTCTATTACTGTTTTCCATGTAGTGATTTGACATTGGTTTGACTTCTTAACTTTCTAAGATAAATGCATTTTATTTTCTTCAACCGTGTTAGACAGTGTTTCTCATTTGTCTTCTAACAGGAAGTGGAAGAAGCGTTTACATTTTGGGGCACCCCAGAAGGTGACTTGGTTCATCCTGCTGAGTGCATGGAGCAATTACTTGAGAAAGTTAGGCGTCACAGAGTTAATATTGATGGCAATGTTTGTACGGTCATGGTGACCACCTTGGTTCTTGAGGTAATTACTTTCATTTTATCATGTTCACTGAATATGTGATCATGCATATACTGATACGACCAAGGAAGACCGATATGCTTTCCCGTATACTATTTCTATTTGCTGATGTGAGCCACCTGATATTTCTTAATTTGTAGGGTTGGCAGCGAAAGCTTGATCCTGGGTACAATGTGATGCAGACGCTGCAGACGTTGCTACTTAGAGCTGATTGGGCGAAGTCTCTTTCTTACACAATTGACGGACTCATGGCCCCTTAGGAGGAAGTTTCTTTCTTTGTTGAGGCTCTTGAGAAACAATTTTGACTAACATAAAAACCCTAAACAAACACATCTGTCCTAAGGGCTCTCCCACAATTATATTTTGGTTTTCTTTTAAATTTTTAAAATTTTATCCCTGTATTCATCTTGGTTATTTGCCAAGTTATTTTTGTGAGCATCATAGTTTACCAGAAAAATGGAAGTAGAAATAATAAAGCGAATGGCAATAGACCTCTTCCCATACCAGCTGTTGAAAGGAACACATCATATGTCAGAACATGGAATGAAAAGCAATGATACATTTTGTATCTTACATGCCACCGTCTTTAACTTCAGAATGCGTTTAATGTTTCTGCATAATTTTAACTTCACGGGAAATGAATAAAAAACGGATCTAAAATTGTCTGTTAATATTTAAATACTAATTTTTTTCTGAGTAATTATATATAATAATTTAAAAAAAATACACTACTTATTCAAAGTTTCGTATTTTTGTTGCATTGTTATATTTAGATTAGAAGTAATTACTATAACATCTCTTTTATTCGGGAATTAGATTTTGGATATATTTTTTTAAAAGAGATGCAAGAATACATGATGTTATTTTCACATATTTCTCTTTCTAAAAAAGTTATTTTTTGAAGACCTTATTTTAATATTTTTTGAAGACAATATTTTTAAAAAGTTATTTGAAGACATTATTTTAATATTTTCACATATTTCTATTAACTGGTTCCTACATTTGTCCTCTATAGGTTAATTAAAGAAAAAAAGGAAACGATAAAGTAAAATAACTTTGCCATCAAATTTTCACATTAAACTTTTATTCCCACTTATTCATTTACTAACGGGAATAATTATTTTAAAAGAAATAATTTTATTCTTATTTTACTAAACATGATAATTTTTTTTATCACTTTCATAAAATTGGTAAAAACATTTTTTCTTTCTTTCCAAATGCTACTTAAATACGATAAATATTTTATGAGGTATATTAAACTAAATATTTCTCAAAGTATTTATTAGAAATAATTTCCATAATAAATATTACTAGATAAAAATTTTAAATAAATTTTTAGTATACTCCTATCATATAGTGAAATTTATGTAAGGTGGTTAAATTACCTAAAGAGCCCCGTTATATTCACCCATCTCAAAAAAACATCTTCCAATACAAATCAATTTATTAATATAATAAATATAAAAGGATTTGATGAAAATAAAAATAAATTTAAATTATTATTATATTATTATTAAAGGAAGTTGTAGATTAGATATTTGATAGAATGGGATTGTCAAATAGTTTTTTCATTATCTAAATCGTACTTCATATTTAATAAAAAAAAATGCCTTCAAATCACATTAGAAAGAAAAAGAAAAAAATACAGTTTTAGTGACTTTAGTAAATCTCGATTATTTAAAAATATATGGAAAAAAATCAAAATGTTAATGCTTTTAAATTTAAACATTTGGCAAAAATCTGATTGGATTTATAATCCGAAGACTCACTAACTAAAAAATTGGAATAGGCAATCAGAACACTACCCCTCCTTGCTAAAGCAAGTCACGGGGTGTTATGAACTTGAAAACCACATCGAGCCTCCTACTAACAGCATCTCAAAATGTCGAATAATATCTAATTAAATCCTAAAAGACAGATTTGGATATTAAATCCACGCCATTAAAATAGATTTGAAGTAGTCTATAATGGAACAGTTATGGACTGGTCTTGGCTAATTGAAATATATTCTGACCTTGTAATATTTATTTCAGATTCAGGTAAGGCATAAATTGACCACAAACTAAAGAATAGAATCTGGGAGGAACCAATTTAACTATCTTGCTAAATCTTAATGAGTTTGAGAATTAATTTATACAAAAGAGAATACATGATATGGAACTGAGACACCAGACGTTCGGTAGGCATCTTAAGAATATACTTTAGTCCGTACAATCAAGTTCTGCATGTAAGCTCACGTATTTCTTTTATTGCTGTACTCATGCTATGAAGGGCCATTTTTTTCAACTGTTTTCATAAACCCAACAAAGAAACCGGGCTTGTCAATTCAGACCGAACATCTAACAGAATAAAGATTAAAATTTCTAACTAAAAATTATTATTACGAAGTTTACCTCCAATTTGTCTCCTTTTGCGGGATGATCTTCTGGAAGCAGCCGGATCTCATCAATCAGTTGAATACACTTAGCAACATTCTCAGGGGATACGAATTCCAATTCCACATGAACACAACACTGCAGATCAATAATAAAAAGAATTATCACACTCAAAAACATAAAATGAAAAGTGAAACACTCGTCAATGCATAGATAATGATATCCCCCGTCAGCAATAAGGCTATCGATAGTGTGATAAAAATTTTGTTTTCTTTTAAATGTATGGGTACAATTTATGCGTTTTGAACTTTATATTTCTTGCTTAAATGTCACTTCAAATTTAAAGTTTTAAGTAAATTTCCAAATGTAAAAATCACATTCAACAAGAAAGTATATCCAGTTCAAGAACAGTTTAAAATTTCTGTTGTTTAACTTGACTACAAAAGAGACAGACAGGGTAAGAATCTTTTTATACAAAAGCAAAAGAGACCTTAGGATTCCTTATCTGGTACGGACATCCAGAAGGAATGATGACAGCTTCTCCAACATGTTGCTCAAAAGTCCATGGTTCAATTTCTGACAACAGAAACGGGTGAGTCAGTTTTAGCTATGCACAATTATAATTTATAATATACGATGAAACACGATTATACTTACTAAATTCCTCCTTAAGTCTTGTCTTGTGAGTATTATCAAGAAAAAAGCTCTGATCTAGAATTGGATGAACCATCTGCATACGAGAAATACCATTAATCATCACCAACTATGACAACATCATGTTTAGGACTTGTCTCTTCTAAATATACCTTTTTGTTATGTTCACTAGTATACAAAAATTCATCAGAGTGTCTTTTAAGGTATTCTAAGAGCTTTGGCACATCCTGTCTTCGAAATACATCCCAATGAGCACCAGAATTCTCTGTAGTCTTCTTCCTTTTATCACCGTTTGAGTTTTTAAAGGGATTTCTGTGTTTATGATCTGGAAACATTTCAGTGCTTAGAACTTTCCTGTGGAAAGATAAAGAGCCTTGTGCCTTTTCAGTTTTAGAATAGGGACCACATTCTTCAAGACCGGAAATATTGGTGTCTAAGTTCTGATTAGATATCGTTTTGGCTTCACTAGAGATGTAAGATGTTCTATTCACTCTCCTTAAAAGGTTAGTTCCTTCACTTAGCATACTGTGCATTTCATTTTGTTCCCTGTCTTCTGTATGCTCAGTAGTAGTTTTACATGACACCTTTTGACAAAGAGCTTTGTGTTTTTTCAATAACTTACTCATTCTAGATTGCTGATCTGTGGAGAGAGGGATGTCCATGGTATGTGCCATAACATTAACCTGGAATTCCACATAAACCATATTGAGTGACACATTTGGCTATGTTTTGGATAGAGTATCTACTTTTGGACATAGTTGAGTAACTATTCACTATAAATATGAAGACCATGGTTGTTAAAATAAAATAAATGGTAAAATTTGAACAATTATAAGAATGTAACATGGGGCCTGATTTGTACTGGAAAACTTTTCATGCTTTCACTCATCCTGAAAACAAGAATATATACAAGGAACAGGATTTTCAAAGCATACAAGGACATAAGGCACCCTGGATAGGCAGCATTTCAAGAAGGTGCTTTTTACTTCAAAATGATGAGTTCATCTTTAAGTTATCATGACAGCTACATGCATATGATGAACATAGCAATTTTGTATTCAAAGGAAATATCAAAGACTCCATAAAATTAGAAATTGTCTTTCCATGACATGTTTTAATTAAATAAACTAAGCAAGAAATATTACACACCATGTCATATGAATCATAACAGAGATTTGTGACGGAATCAGCTTCATCATCAGCACAGCCATATGAAATATAAACATATGGTCCTATGTCATGTTTTGCACTCCCCTGTGGCAAATTTGCAGCTAAATTCAGAAGACCGGACAAGGGATTCATGTATTCTTGAATTGGAAGAGCATCAATTATTTCATCAAAATGTGCTGGAAACTGTTCTTTGAATAGTTGGGAAGACAACCACCCTTTAAGTTTCAGCATCTCATCCCAAGTATTTTTCTTTGGTTGACATTTAAGAGACCCCGTAAAATACTGCCTAACGTTAATCTCCACCTGCCAATGCCAGAGATCCAAAAATTAATATTATACCTTCAACAATGATCTTTTGGTTCATGACTCAACTGCAGATCAATCATTCGTTCGTGTTTCACTGATCGGAGCATGTGATGTGTATATGCACCAATGCATTATTCCATTGCAGTTACAAATAGCAAGTACTTTGGACATCAACATGTAGTTTATATTACCAAGTACATTAATTGCAATAAATAGTTTTCTAAGATGGTACTTACCCGTCCAAAACAACATAGTATCAATTTAAAAATGAATTAACCTATGGAATATATTGATAAACTTACCTCAAACCAATCCAAACAAGCTTCAAGTAAGTCCTTATTATTCTCATATCTTGTCATGCTCCTCTCAAGATAAGTGCAGAAAATGAACAGTGGATCCCAACTAAGGTTTGGTGTACTTTGCAGCACATCTCGTACTACTACAGGATGGCCTCTTCCCCAGTGTTTCTGAAAGTGTTCCAAATGATTGCTCCCGATGTCCAAAACTGTCGGATAATACAAGTAATTATCATTAGAATCTTCTCTTTGAGCCGCTTCCGGTAACTGCTTGTATATGCAAGTTTTATGATCTTTGTCGACACACATTGAGCAACTTGAACTTTTATCCAAAGCTTCCGGAAAGTCATAGCTGCAAACTATTTCTTCTGCCTTTGCTTCCATTTCTTTGATCCAACTTAAGGGGAAAACATGGTTCAGATCAAGGTGGCTATTACCACAATCACCAAGTTTTGTAAGTGGGCATGATACAATGGCAGCACCATTACAACTTGTCCACTCTGTTAACATTGAAGTACCGGTTAAATTTCCATTAGAAATAGCCTTGTCATTCAAAAGGCATCTTCCGCTATAAATGCAGGCATTTAATTTGTCAGGTAGCTTGGATATAGAAGACTTGTCTTCTGCAGAGGTACTTCCTTGACTTAATGCGTGAGAACAACGTAAGCAAAGACTGTATGAACAACTAAGGCAGCTTTTATGAAGATCCAAAATAGGTGTTTTGCAGTAATTGCTGAGACAAGTGTTTCATAGATACTTTCATTTGTTAGCAAGCAACACTAGAGAATCATTTTAATTTTCTTGATAATATCAATAAAAGAGAACATACCAGTAATTTTTCTCATTGCAGCCAAGATTGACCGGTTTTATGATAATATCAGACGTTCTTTTTCCTGTCATGCACAATATCAAGATAACCAGGTTGAAATCTACAAGACTAATTCAGAAACCATCGTATGAGAAGAATAATAGTAACTACCTTTAACTTTCGCTTTTGTTTCTACACCCATGTGGTGGTCTTCTTTTATTTGTTTCATTACAGGAAGGAGCATACAGACCAAATAATGAAAATGCAATATCCTATCAACTCTGCTTTTACCGGCCAAATGTTCCTGAAAAAATATGGCACAAAACCAATCTGTCAGCAAGTGCTGCTAAAAAAACTATAGTAGCAGTAAAGCATTTATCTTTGATTTCAGACCTTACTTTCACTGTCTTCATATTGACTTGCCAAGCAATCTTTACAAGTGCAAGTTCCTCGGCAAACTGGACATGCCATCTTAACCTCATTTTGAGTGTCAAAATACCTAAAGTTTTTTCAACAAATAATTTGGCAAATATCTCATATTTTGATCATAAGCATAAAAGATGAAGGCAACAGAAGTTATGTTACTAAATACCCTAGTTCTAGTCATTATTGATCAATGTGGTCAATGTGGTAGCATAGTTATCACAATCTTGTGATTCAATACATTTTGGCTATCAACCAATTCGGATCCCAACATGAATCTTAAATAACTTTATATCCTACATTGCATGAATGAACAAATGTAATTTTGAATCAGCTATACAATTCACAGGATTCAAATGTTTTTACTTTTTCACCAATTCTAATGAAAATAAATAAATCATGTCTCTATTTGATTATTCCACCTTTACTTGTCACTCATTCAGTGCATGTCTCTATTTAGCTATTTAATTGTGTTGGTGCCATTCTTCTAAAACAACGATTACATAACCTTTGATATAACTAACAGTTTTATTTTGTATGCTCCTTGTTTAAATTGTTTTATGTATTTCTAGCTTAAATTTTTTACATATATACTGCATGATATATTTGAGTTGATGGTGATTTGTTATTGTATCTGAATCTACGATTTCACACAAAATTACGATTTAGGGGTTTAAATAATAGCTCCAGAATTTACAATTTGAATCTAGATTGTATTACCCTGTGTGGTAGAACTAATTCTAGAAGTGGTGCAAAATAACAGGGACAGGAAAGTGGTATGGAATTGTATATACACGAAATGAAATCCTATTCTTTTTCCCTTAATCTTTTATTCTTATCAACCTCTGTTCACGTTGATAATCATTCTACATATCTCTATGAACCAATGTTATCAATGGCACATGGTGGATATAACAGAAGGCCGAAATCCCACCATATAATGGACATTGCAGATTACGATGCCGCCCTGGCCGCCTTCCCTTCACAAAATGCCATGTGATAGTGTTGTGGCGGCGGATAATCGATTATTTAACTAGAACTGCATCACAACTAATCTACAACTCGACCACAATCTATAACATTGAAGATAATTAAAAAAAAAAAAACTTGTAGGCAAGGACAACATCGAAGCTGAAAATTCACAGTGAAAAAAAGAAATTTGTACATGGTAGCAAATGAACGAAACAAGACCAAATTCCAACCTTTGTTTAATGCAGTCCATGCAGAAGAACTCTCTCTGGCAGTTTGAACACCTTATAAGACTGCCAGAATCACTTCTCTGACACCAATGACACTTCTTACTCCTTCCCTTCTTAAAGTTTCGTCCACACTGCACAACCTTAAAAGAATCAAACAAACACACCAATCGGGACATAGAGAATTTTTTTTTTTTTTTTTGAAAAAGTCAAAAGTCAAAACCCACCTGCAACTTGCCAACAGAAACCCTCTCAACATTCTTGGACCTGAAGTAACGAGAAGAAGAAGCCACATTGGGCGTGGAAGCGGAAGCTATAGCCATAACCCCGTTTGGTAATTCCTTCCTCAACTCGTGATTGGAATGCAAATTCAAATTCAAAGGCAAATTCAATTGCGATTCATTCTTCTTTTTCTTCTTTTCAACCGCCCTCTGCAGAACCATCCTTATGAGCTCCAGTTGGTTCCTCCTATTGACCAATGCTTCTCTAGCTTTCCGCTTCGCTCCAACCTGAGTCTCAACCGCATCGTTTTGCCTCTTTCTCTGAAGCTTCAGCGACTCCGGAACCTTCTCCTTGTGCTGCCGATGCTGACCTTGCAGGTAGTGAATCTCACAGAGTTTTAGGTTTTCCATCACTCGCCGCCGGCACCGCCATTGCCGCCCATCCGTCCGGCAGCACCGCAGATGCTCCGGCACCACTTCTCCTTCATCCGCTGGCGTCGATTGTTTTCCCATTAAAAAATGATAATAATAAAAGATATTTTTATATATTTTTTTCTTGCAGCGGAATAGGGATATTTTTTGGTGAAGGTGAAAGAGTATGAGGGAGAAGAGAACAGAGGAATGGAATGGAATAAAAGAAAAGAGGTTAACCCCAAAACTAAAAGAGCCATGATTTGTGTGTGCATATTTATATGGGATGAAAAGAAAATACTAATTGTCCAATTCTGATAAATAGTGTGAGCATGACATATTCGCTTAATTGTTGGAATCTATAGCGTCCTTTTTACTCTCCCAATTCCAACGGAGTATCGTTCCATTTCATCCTTAACCTTTCTAAATTTCAAATCATTAGTTTTGCTAACTCATCTCGTTCGCTGCAAATACTTCTATTCAGAACAATAATATAATTTTCGTTTCAATTTTTTTTTTCTTGTGTCAGGTTGGACTCTGATCTTGGATGACAGTCAATCGGATTACTGCAAAATTCAGGTTCCTTGTAAAATTGCCTAGACTGAGATGAATGAAGTGTTTTTGAAAATTAACATTTGAGAAAATGCATAAATAAAAAATGTAAGAAAAGTGTGGTTTGGTCTAAAACTATGGTGTTAGCTTTTTGGTTCGCATGGCTTAGATCAAAGTCAATATTTTTTATGCGCTGATTCTGTGCAATCTCATATATATATATATATATATATATATATATATATATATATATATATATATATATATATATATATATATATATATATATATATATATATATACAAAACTGTTTAACGGTATGGTAAACACAGTTGAATTATATATTCTACTATCTGAAAAATTTACTTGTTTCAGAGTAATAAACTTAGAGAAAGTTTTGTCAATTTGTCAGATGTTTTGATTTTTCTGTTAATTTCTAGTTTTACATATTACAAATAGAAAAATTAATAAACCTATGCACTGTACAGTTTCCTTGATTAATATTATAAGTAATTTAGTTTACATGTGGATCATTACGGGTTAGAAGATTACTGCTCTCACGGGTCCACAGATTCTGATATTGAAGAAACTTAACATTCATGTGAGGATGTGAGTTATAAATAAGAAATTAGTGAAACTTGAATTAATATCCTGTCCAAAAAAAAAAAAAAAAAAAAGTCTAGTGTTGCTTGTTTATAGAGTAACCACTCAGGTGATTCTTCTTCTAATGACCTGTGTTTTGAATTTGGATTCATATACCTCAAACCTTTTCAAATATACAATATAATAACCACATGAATTGTAGATATAGATATATATTTTTAAAAACATGTATGGTACATGAGATATTTCCTTAAGCAGGCTATTAGTTTTGTTTTTACCATTAAAATGACTTTGATTGTTGTGTTTTTCTTAAACCTATGCAATCTGTTTAAATATTCTAAATGAAATTTTTTTAAAGACTTTTTGTTTTGATAAGTAATATGTCACCTTTACCACACGAATATCTTTGAAGCACTTCTGCAAATTTGTTGTCACTCCAATAGTTTTAAAGATGAACATTTTTTTTTTATCAATATGAGCATTTATTTGAGTTAGGTTTTGCTTTTAGTAGATACTACAAAGCTCTTTCTCCAGTAGCTGTATTTTTTTTTTTTTTTAATATTTGTGAGATTTGTTCAAATTGTAACCTATAAACTCAGCTAATTTTGTTATGACTGATGTTAAACACCAACTGAATAAAAAAAGTAGAATATGAAAACATAATTTCTAACTAGTTGAAATTGTATATGTATGTGTATATAAACTCATTGAAGCATGCAAAGGAATAACATTTTGGATATCAATATACAATATCCATGAAACTTATACGTATATCAATAAAATGTTTAAATCTTCAACTGAATCTAGATAGTGATTGTGAAAAATGAATATCATAATTACATGACATATTTTTACTATTAATTTTTAGGTCAAATAATATATTATTAAAAAAATAATAAACAAGGAAGATGAAACAGTAAAAAATAATAAAATTATAAATATATAAATAAATATATAAAATATCATTTAAATTTGGAAAACAAAATCATAAATTAAATAAAAATAAAAATTAAAAATATACAAATAAATATATTAAAATTTGGGATCAAAATCATATATTAAATTTTGTTTAAACGCGGAGGTAAATGCCTCCTCAGTTTCCAGGAAAATCCTCAATGTTCAATACCCAACTGTGTTCTTATATGCTGAGTCAATTTTCTGTAAAATGAGTTTCTGCTTTGAACTTCTTATTTCCCCTAGTTGGATTTTGTTGCTATTTTATCGAAAACAAATATTGATTCAACCAACCATACTTAGTGATTGACTCTTCGTTTGATTCAACATTCTTCAATTCCCATATTTACAACAGTTGAAGAGTGTATTATGAACTGCTCAGATCATGCATTAAACATCCTGTTAAGTGAAAAAGATGGAAGCATCACCTATTTAGTAAAGATTGCGAGCATGGCTTTGATCTCTTGCGGTGTGAAAGAAATCAATCTTTTTAAATAAATTTCTAAACTTCAAAATTTCTCTGACTCAACCAAAAGTACCATTATCATCTTCCACCAAGCCTTATGAATATGCCACACTGTAAAGAAACGTGATTGAATGCAGCGTCGATGAAATCATTTAAGCATCTACTGAAAAGAGACGATGTGTGTTAGAACTTCATCAACGCTGCACTCAATGATGTTTCTCCAATATGGGTTTACAATTACAAATACTAAATGAGATTGAGATTCATATTTCTGTATCCTAATGCAGCTGTCTCTTGCAGAAATATAAAGCTTAGAGAAAACCCTAGATGCATTATGTCAACCTCTCCATTAATTTGTACTACCTCTCTAGTACTACACTAGTTGTTAACAGTTACTACTCTTTCTCAAAATCGTACTAGTCACTTGTACTGGAATGGAATCTTGTACTGCTGTTCCATTTATTTATAATTAGGTTTACAATTATATTATTCATTTAACTTCTTTTCTTCCGAGTTGCATGTAAATGTAATCATCAATAATGATATTGTAAAATATTTTATTTCATTTTCTTTCTCTAGTTATATTAATTGGCACATGTAGGTTTCATTTTTTTTTCCTCTTATTTTTATTCAGAATGAGTGCCAATAACATTATTCTACAATAATTATAGAGTAATTTAAAAGACACTTTGTTCAGCTGATTCATGACAGATATGAATAGAAAAACATACTCCATAATTTCTATTAATAATTTGTGATATATGCAGTGTTGAAAAAGCTCCTTATAGTTTGTTTTAAAATGGGTAAATATAACCTTTAAGATGAAAAGGTTATAATATCTAATTTTGTATTCAGTCTCTGGCTTTGTACGAATATTAATTTATATTCCATTGAAATGAAAAGGGAAATTCGACAGCACAGAACCGACACGTAAAGTGCACTAATTAAGCATTTTTTGTTTTGGCACATGCACTTTCTCTACGTGCCCTCACAAATAAAAAAAAAAATAATCCATAACATATATTATATTGAAATATTTTATTGAATATGTTTCCATTGAAATAATTTATGCTTGCTTTCAGTTTGAAAAGATAGAGTCTTTGTCGTTTTGTTTCTATCACGAGTGAAAATATATACACGATAGTTTCCTTTCAGTTTGAAATACATTTTACAAAATATATGAAGACATAAAGTGTAAGATCAATAAAAGTAAGAGATGATTAATTAGTCATGCATATGCATATACTTCCACCGCAAGTCACTTTTATTTTACTCATTACAAAGTGAATAGACAGAACAAGTTCCTTTATTATTTTATGCCATTTCATTAATCCATTAATTTTTTCAGTGATTGATCTCCATCATCCTTGCAATAATTGCATGTTGAGAAGAAGCCATTCCTTTAGGCTACATATATATGAATAACATGCAAGTGTTTGAAATTTCAAACTTCCAACATTGTTGCTCACAACTTGGCTTTTCGTTTACATAAATACATTTACAACAAATTACAATATTTCTACATCCAATATATATGTGCAAGTATGGGTTTATTCACATATATACATCATCGTACCTAAAACAACAGAATTTAGTTATGTATATATATACTACGATTTAAATCCCTTCATTCTAAGAACAATTTTACCTTGAGCATCTTCAAGCAATTGAGCCAAGACTTCATCAGGAGGAATGAGTCTCCAGATTCTAGGATGGTCCAAGTGATGACCCATTTGAGCAAATTTATGAGCAGTCCTATTTCCTTCCCTATATATATGGCTCACAAAGCAGTTGTTAAACTCAGGTAGAATGGAATTTATATGACTGATATGACTTTGTACCTCCATGCATCTAACTTTTTTCCCTTTCACAATAATTTCAACCAATGTTTTGGCATCTCCTTCAAGCCAAATATCATTCCAACCATTTTCACGGGCTAGTTCAAGGCCTCTCCTGAGTGCAGTGAGTTCAGCAATGGTGCTATTGGCTTGTCCAATGGATTCTGCATACCCAAGCAAAAATTCTGCATTGTGATTTCGGACAACCCCCCCAATGCTAGCTTCTCCACTTAAACTTTTGCAAGACCCATCAAAGTTCAATTTTGTCCATCCAATGCGTGGTTTCTTCCATGCCACTGGGATTGGTTCCTTGTGGAAATACCTAATCAACTGACAAACTGGACTTTGCACTAGTTTTTGGCACCTAAAAATATTTATTAGATCTAACATTGTGTATTCTTTTCTTCTAGTAACCTCTCAGAAGTCGAAACAATTGTGCTACTAATTTAAGAGATGGTCAATATATATAGAAGAACTCATTGGAATTGGAAATAACTAATTAAACATTGGAGGGAGGAAAAGTTAAATATATAGCACCACCATTTGTAGGAAATCCTTGTTCTATATTTGTTTTTCTCTCAGAATTTAGTTTCCATCAAAGCAAAAACGAACAGGGAAGACTAAAATTAACACGTACCAATCTTGAGACTAAAGTTTGAAAAACAACGAAGATGTAAAGGATGGGTATGCATGCCTAGAAGAATCACAGAAACCTTGAATTAAACATGAAATGATTATGAAAGAGGATAATAATGTTAAGGTTGATGAAGAGGGTAGTGCTATTTATTTTGAAAGTAACGAAACTTGCTTCACGGAAGTTCACATTAAATGAAGTTGGAGTAAAGAAAAAGGAAAGAAGATTCAAAATTTGAGAGACTCAAGGCGACATTTGATACCAGAATAATGGAAATTGGCAGAGAGGTTTCTTCAGGAACTGTCAACTTATAAGCATATTCTTTAAACAGTTTCTAAAGAACATTACGTGCGTGAAGTACTATATAAAGGTTGAAGGAGAAGAAAGAAGACTGCACATTCTTTTTCCCTAACGTTAACGTTAACCATTGAATTGTATTTTAGTAATTATTACCAACAAACTATAAAAACGTACTCATCCAAATATGGGAAATTCTATTACGGCTATAATTGTCTGCACCACCAACCACCATACAACAAACAACGTGCGTATGTTAAATAACTTGAAAAAAGAAAACACTGTAAAATAATTTATCTATAATACATATAAATAAAAATAAATATCGGTTTAGTGCTCCTTAAAATACAACTTCCTTCTGTGCTAACTGCACGCAACTATCACATGCAAAACAAAAAACTGTTTTTGCGTTAGTATAATTAGACTTTTATACTTAAAATATTATTTTTATTTAGTTAAATTTCTATAATTAATTCACTTTTTGAAGATAAGAATTTGACTTAGTTGTCTGACTTGGTCAAATAGATAACTAGGAATGACAATATCAGAGTTAATCATTATTCATAGCACAAAGATTCTATTAGTTAATGTCTTGATGACACTATTTTTCACAAAATAAAACAGTTAAAGTAAAGTGATTTTTTTTTCACTGTGTTGAATATTTTTTAACCATTGTGAGCATTTTCTTTTGTTATGGTTTTTGCTTTTTGGGCTTGTCTGAAACGAAGAGTACTGGGCTTTGGTCTGGATGATCCGTTTGACGAAATAACTACAGTTGACGTCGAGAAATGGATCATTGATGTCGTGTTCGATTGTAATTGGTAATTAGCGCTTCAAATTTATAGAGTGAGAAAATTTATTTTTAAGATTTTTCAATGACATGACTATTTTCAAAGTTAGAGAGGACAGAGAGAAGAAATATTATTTTTTGAAACTTATAAAATACCCATTCCAAAATAGAAAGAGAAAAATGATATTTGTTTGATAAAGGAAACATGAAACAAGGAGTAGACGAAGATTTTTATAAATTAGAAAATATAGTTAACATTGGAAACTATCTTGTAAGAATCTAACCGGAACGGGTTTTATCGAAGCAAATCAATTTTTCAATATGTTAAAGATTATAAATGTTGTGAAAGTAAATGTATATTAGTTAACATATGTTTAAAAAAAAGTGGTTAAGTTTAAAGATTAACATGAAAATTTTTAAATTTCAAAGATTTTTGTATTTTTTTAATTTCCCCAATTAATATAACAAACTAGTTATCATTTTAAAGATTAATCTCACTTGTTTGTGAGAATTATTACTCCCAGTGATAAATTTTTACATATATAAGAAGTCAACCACGTTTCTCGTTACATTGTACAAGCCTTTTGTTTATCTATAAATGTAGGTTCTAAACCGACAAGATTAGCTGGAGCTGAGTTGGACTAACATTCACATTGATTCCCAATGAGTGTGGACAAAAGACAAATTCCATAATACTGTTACTGGATCCATCTTCTATTGTAGCAAAAATTTTCTTTAACTTTTATTTTGAAAGGAAAAAAACAACTATAATGTCTTGTATGTTATAAATGAAAATAAAAATAAATCTAGAAAGAATAAAAATATTGAAGATTTTCTTATAAATGTGCAATTTAGCATGAATTTGCATACATTGACGTGGGGACTATAAAGGATCAAACATTCAACATTGTTATGACTCAAAAGCATTGATTCAATACGAGCCACCTATATAAAATGATTTATGAAGATTCAAGGCATAAGGTAATGTAGCTTCAGAATGTTCCTTTACCAATTATCCATAACCAGTCAAGAAGAGCCCCAGCACATATGCCGCTCAATAGACACAGGACAAGCAAATTACCCAAACCATTCTGCTCAGGACCCTGTAATGCACAACCTCCAAAGTTACCGTTGATTGGACAAATGTTTTTCTCTTTCTGAAATTTACTTTTAATTCATGTATTAATCAATTAATTCTTCAACTTCAAAAAAAAAAAAAAAAAAAAAAAAATATATATATATATATATATATATATATAAATTGAATTCTTTTCTTAATTTTACAACGATTAAAAATGTCACTGAATACTAAATTTAAATATTAAAAAAATCACAATTTTAAAATACAAAGATTTATTTATTAATTTTAATATATATTAATAAAAAGCACATTTTTTTCTACGATAAAAAATACATAAACTAAAATATAGCTATAGTTTGTCATGAAATATTTAATGAACTTCAATATATTTACTTTTTTTATCCATATTTTAAAAAAGAACATCACTAAAATGATAAACACTGTATGGTTGAACACAACAAAAACCTGCTTATTATATAAAATATATATACCGTACTGTATAAATTAACTAAACCTTCCTTCTTCTTTTTTTTTTTTTTTAATACTTTTTACATGTATTAAAATTATATAACCGTCTTCGAACATCTTTTCACACATTAAAATTGTAATTATTTTCAACTTTTTTCCAAAGAAAAATATTTTATAAAATATGATAATTACAAAATATAAATCAATCACTGAGTAAATAACTAAATTAGAATTTTTTTATTAGTTAAACAGAAACTGATCAATGAAAAAAAAAAAAAAAAAAAAGAAGCTCTCAACATCTTTGTGAACTAAAGAATTGAATTTTGTAGTTGTCAAGATAATTTATTTCTTCTTGAGCAAATAAGATATATAACAAGAGTTAATAGATGCATTTGGACTTGTAATTCAAGTGCACACCATAAGGAAACCCGTGAGTTTGATATTTAAGAGTTGAGAGTTGGGTGAACTTACCTTGTAACCTCTTGGTGCCACAGTAAGAACACACACAGTGAGATAGCCATTGGTGAGTCCCAGAAATGAGGTGAGAAAGATCATCCATCCTTGGTCACCATATTTTGCTGTAAAGTAGAATGCTGGGATCAGCAAGAATCGAGAAAAGACTGCTATTAGTAGAGCCTTTCTGGATTCTAACTTCAGCCATGGCACAAGGGGTATATATCTTGATATGAGATCCACTACATTATACATAGCTATCAAAACAACTGAGTACCTGCAAAGATAACCAGTGCCAAGTAAACTCCTTTAACTTTTTTCCTATCAGTTTCATCATTCATCAAAGGGACAAAACGGACAAATACAAAATCAAAGAATATAAGTACAGTTTTTTAGGCCATGGTCAGGTTATTCGCTAAACATATGCTTATTTTACATTTGTTTCCCTTGAGGTTGGGGAATGTCAAGAAATTATCACCACGGTCTTGCTAATGAGATAAATATTCAATTTTTTAATTTATCATAAATTAATAACACTTAATGACAAAAAAAAGTGAAGATAAATCCTAACTATCTGATATAAGATCGCCTAATAATTTCTAGAAATGTCATATCTACATTCTAAGTACATCAAGCGGAAAATGTCGGTCTCATATCTAATGTGTCTCCTCCTACTGGAGCTGTCCAGTACTGAAGAGGAGTTGTGCTCCATCAAGTCATGTCAGTTCAAAAGGCAATTGGATTAAAAAAGATAAGCATAACTTTACCATGTGCCTAACTGATGTGCTCCAGTATTTTCATACAAAAATCCAGGGAAGATTGACAGTGTTACCACATATATAAAAAATAAATCAACTGCATAATCAAGGTTCTCGTGAAATAATTGTTTGTTGCTCAACCGCTCTTGATTGTCATCATATCCAACCTGCACAAAATTCCAAATTTTTAGGAGATGATACAAAATTATATTCCACCCGAGTAAAGTATTATAGTTTTAGCATAATTATATTACTTGATCTTTAGGTTTTGTACTGATTCCAGCAGCAGCAAGGTCAGCTGCAACAGTTTTCGACCCCTCCGACGCTGCTTTTGAACGGTAATATTTCACTATGGGCAATTTGGTGAAGTAGATTGCATACAGGAAGATACAAACTAACTCAATGAATGAGGAGATTCCCAAGAATAATACTGCATAAATAAGAAACAATCTCTTTTATTTTAAAGAAAACAACTTCTACTGCACTAAGAATAGTCATGCTGTTTGAAAATTGAAAGAAGCTTTATACATGAGAAAACAATATTCTATCAAAATCAACCAATCAAGACAATATATAAGACACCAATATAGATGATCAATGTAAAATAAGAATGACAACATACTTGCTCCCTTGCGAAGTCCATTATTCGATTTCTCGAAAGCTGCCTTGGTCAGCATTCTCAAAATAGAAATCAGAGCCCCTGATGCTGCCAAACCAGCAAGGTAGGACTGCATAACATTATGTATTATTTAAGTAAAAAAAGGATAGCAGAACCTACGAGTTTGTAAACCCCTGACTCCAATATATAGGAACTTCAACTAAAAGGGTTATCATTGAAAGATATTGAATAAATTATATGAAAGACAAACCTGGATAAACTCAGGGCACATTAAACACAGATCTCCTACCATGCCACCTTCCACCTGTGCATCTGCTATTCCAAAACAAGCAGCTAGCACACATATACCAATATAGGGTCCAATTCCACCTTTCCCTGATGTTGCTAGATCTACCTGTAGCAACAGATAGTTGAAGCTTTATGTGCCAAGGAAAATAGGTCACTGACTTACTAGGACATTACAAAAATCAGACGCCTGCAAATTATAGAATTGGAAATGGTGTACTTACAACAAGAACAAAGAAAGTGCTAAAAAAGAAAAGAATGAATCCAGCCAAATTCCTCTTTCTAGTATTGATCTTCGACTCATAGTATGCCAGTATTATCATTGTTCCAATTGCAAATGGTTGATAGACCAACGTAAGTACCCTTGCAGGATGATATTTCTTCAGAGTCGAAAAAAAAAAGCTTCTTTAGAATGAATTTTGTAACCCATATTTCAAGAAGTATCGTTTCAATCACAATTAGAAATTTTCTATTTCCCATAATTTATAAACATTTATTGTTGAGAAAAAACATTGTACAATGATGTCAAGTCCTACCAGAAACTGAAAGCACCATGAATTACTTACGGGGAACAATGTGTAATAGTAATCCCCTATCGTCAACATGCTGTTCCAGGAAACAAGGGACCCAATTCCAAGAATGAAACAAATTGTCATTGCTTTGTATTTTCCCTGGTTGCATTGAAAACAAACCGACAAGATAAAAAATTCCATTCTAGAGAAATATTACCATTATGCATGGGAGCAATAAATTCTTCAGTGGAAAATAAGACTTTGCACTTACCTCGGGTTTTTTTGGTGCTCCATTGTAATCACTGGCATCCATGGCCACTCCTATTAAAAAATAATCGTTGAAGATAATCAACATTTATTAACAATAACTGCTAGTCCCCAAAATTCTGAGTCCTTGAATAAGAAAGTACCTGTTGATTAATGTTGGATGTTTTGGGATTTATTGGAGAGAGATAACATGAGATATGAACTCCGCGTATTGACATTATTCTGAATCTTAAACCTTCAAATATTGAGTTAAATTATTTTTTTTTTATATATTGATCAACTTCCTGTGTGAAATTTAGATTTATACTTGGATTTTCCAATAGATTAATATGTGATCTTCTATGAATAAATTAGAGAGAGAACAAATATAGATGAACAACAATATTGGCGCAGGTTTAACCTTCAAGCACAAAGAACTTATACGGTTCACCCTGTTAATTTCGCTGCACTTGCTATTGTGTTATTTTTGAACGTATTGAGTAACTGGTGGGAATTGATGGTCCATAACAAAAATACCAGTACAGGCAATGGGGAAGTTCAAGAATAATGGCACAAGCTAGATGAAGTTATGGTGTTGAAGCTCGTTAACGCAACAACTAAATTTTACTAAGGGAAAAACAGCATCAGTATATTCTGAAGCATATCTTGTGGTTCGCTTCATGTAGATGTGCATTGTGCTCTTTGCAGAGGTGTTGTGGAATACACACTTCAATTGGTTAAGAAAATATATGACTAAACAACACCTTCAGTGACTGGTTTGATCCATTTCGTATCAATTACTTGCTATTAAAAATTAATCAAGTGAAGTAAGATTCGATAGCAAGAAGACGAATAATTAAGGAGAAATGAATAAGATTAACTTGGGGACTCGCCTACCGTTTGATACCATAGAAGAAGAAGATGGGGGTAAGATTGAATGCAAATATGGTTTGCAGATTTAATTATTTCTATTTCACCCTTACACCTAAAAACATCCTAACATGCTTAAGCCCAGTAAAGATCTTCTTTCTTCAATAATCACCAAATTTTTTTATAACACTATGTTTTTAATCCATGGTTTGTGCTCTACTATTTCCATTTTCATTTATAAATAAAAAAGTTCTCAAATGTAAATGACTTCTAAATATTTCTACTTTATTTGATAATATTTTCTTAAAATACACTAATTTTAATTAATGTCTAACTTTTGGTTAGAACATGATTACAACATGTAATTTTTTATAAAACTTAAAATTTTATTAAAAGATTAATAAATTTTAATATAATTAACTAATTTTTTAATATTTAATGAAAATTAAGTTTTCTATAATTAGAACGGGGTATTAAAAATAAACATAACAACTAACCCTATGCACGACTGCCTTAGGTAAAGGAATGGTGAAGTGTTTGAAATAATAGTAAAAACAAGGTTTCGAAGAGGTTTTGGTTTCATACGTCAATATTATGTTTGAAGAAGTACAATATTATGTTTCATACAAAAAACATATTTGAAGTAAGAAGTACAATAGGACTTACTGTATTGACATTTAGAGGCCATGATGTAATAAGACGAAGAAAGAAAATGAAAGAACTTAAAGTGAAATATTTTTCTATAATTAATAAAATCAAGACAAAGTTGTTTATTGGAATGTTTAATATTTTTTTTATAAATTATCCTATTAGATATGTCCTATGATTGAAAAGTTTTTATAATCAATTATCTAAGAGTTTTATTTTCTGAAAAAAAAATTTGACGTTGTAATTGATTACCAATTGGATTATCGGTGTATCATAGGCTTCTAAGAAAATAATTTTCACTAATATAATAAATTACAATATTGATTTAATCAATTACATATAATATTGTTTTTCATGAAAACGATGCTCCTAGTGTAGTGCATCACAACAAATTTGTAGTCAATTCCATAACATATGTAAAACATTTATGTTTTGTAGCTCAATTGTAATGGATTATAATGTAATTGAAATTAATTACATAAAGTAAAATTAAAAATCGTTGTCTGTCATAATCAGTTACAATTTAAGATAATTACTGTATCGCATAAGATGAGATATGTTTTTGCAGAAGACAAAAAGTGAAATAAACACGTTTTAATAGGTTATAATAATATCAATGTAATTGGTTACATATATTAGAAACTATTTTTATATTAATAAAAGTAGACTTAATAAATTACAGAAAGTTTTAAAACAGTGCGATACATGTGAGAAACAAAGAGAGATAGAATGTGTTAGAGAGATTAAATTCAACGGAAGTCTTCTTTAGTAAAGTTTGAATTCTTGGATCAAGATCTTGTCAAAATTATTGTTCATGCTTGTCCAAGTTTTCATGTTTTTGTATTTCGTTTTTTTTTGTTTTTTTGTTTTCCTTCTTCAGAACCAAGGGTTGATTCTAAGTTCCAACTGAAAGCATTGTAAAACTTGGAATAAGGATTATCAAGAACATCAAGCAGAAAAAGTTTTAAACAGTGATTTTCACCAATGAGGTTTTAGAGATTTTTTGTATGCTGGTCCAGTTAAAAGTTTGATACTGCACAAAACCCATAATTATAAGATTTGATATTAAAATAAAAGGTAAAAATACGGGAAAAAAATATTCTGACGTCTACTTTCTTGTAGACATCTCTCCAACAACACCGAAGTTAATATTATAATAATAAAATATTAAATTTTATATTTATTATTATATATTCAAATGAATTGTATAATAAATGTTTGATAGGAAGCTGTCTATGCATCACTCTCAAAAATATGTTTGAGTTGCTCAAATGTTTAAATTTGGTTTTAGTACTTTTATTTTAAAAATAATAATTTTGGTCCACCTATTTATAAATAGGATAGTCTTTAAACATCTCCTTCATTTTTATTTATCCAAAGCTAAAGTTTACTATATTTCATATAACATGATTAAAATTACAGTTTTCAAACTGTTAGGATCAAAATCAATTTTGAGAACCCTAAAATGCATTTCCCCTTAAAATAAATTAATCGTAAAAAACACAAAGTAAAAAATAAAAAATAAAAGTGTCTAAAAATATTTTGAAAATGTTGTTTTTATGTAAATAACACATTAAAAACAATTTAAAGGTATACATGATACTATATTTCGTAATTCCGAAGTTTAGAATTCAATTCTACTTAATTAAAATAATTAATTTTTTTCTCCTAATAAATCTTATTCCCAAACACACGTTAACTTCTATCCAGACACAGGTTTTATTACATTAGCACCTAATTATAAAAAAAAATCAATTTCATAATAAAAAAATAAAATAAACCTTGAATAGGGGACTGAAAGATCTGGCAATTGGGTTCCAAACGCAGATAACTCTGGTTCCAAATTTCCTGAATGGTCAAATATTCAATTATTCTTATTTCTAATAATAAAACAGATGTCAAGAAATAAGAAATGAAAACATAAAATTGAATCAATCTTCAAAAAGTTGGGAATGAATCAAGAAATCTGTTCATAGAAAATTGAGAAGTAAAATCTCAGAACCGTTTCGTCCAAACGCAAATACACTCACCGCAGTCATCACAAAAAGGCACATTACACGTAAATAGCACATGACGTTAGGTGCGGCGAGAGTAATCCATTCAAAAGCAGGATTTTCCATTATGCAGTGCATACAAAACAGTAGAATGATAGGGTTTCGGTATTTACCAGAAGCAGAATTGTTGTTATGAAGAAGACAACAAATCACGCGCAGAGTTTGGTTCTTCTCACCCTTCCCTCTTCTGCACGTGCGCTTTGCCTCCTCCGTTTCTCGTGCCTTTGGCTCTATCCATTCTAATTAAATAAAAATCTCACCTCTCTGAAATTAATATTTATTAATTTTAAAATGTTGACAATTAATTTCAACATATGTATTTTATTAAAGAATGTAAAAGAAAAAACGAGTTTAAAAAACTGAAGCTTTCGAACTCAGAAGACGTTACAAGACTTTTACTATTATTAATATTATTTAATTAGACCACGTGTATTGATTATGAAGAGTTTATATTTAATTTATTATAATTATTTACTTTTAAAAATTATTAAAATGATTACTGAAAACCATCAATAGTTCTAATAGTTTATATTAAATAATAAACTAAAATTTATCAATATTAAGTATTTAAACTTGTTATAAATGTTTTCTTGAAACTTGAACTTTTGGAAAATTATAAAATTCCCTTTGGTTTAATTTAGAAATTTGTAAATATTTTCTTTTTTGAGATTTTAAACTTTTTAAAAGGCTACAACTGCCTTGTTAAAAGTGTGATTTGTTGAAATGATATACTTAAATAAAATATAATAGCTTTAATTTATTAAAAGTTATTTTAATAATTTAAAACTTTTACAAAATATAATAAATAATTTATATTGAAATTATGAATTACTAACTGTAAATAATTGAATCTCGGAATTATTAAATATAATTTAAATTTGTAAGTTAATTTTATAAATAATATTTTAAAAAAATTATTTAAATTATGAATTTATTTATTCAAGTAAACATATTTATATATAATTTTTTTCTTTTCTCATTTATTTATTATTTTTTCTCTTTTTTTTCACCCTTATTTTGTTTTCCTTTATTTATTCTTCTCATTAAAATTATTATATAAAAATATATTAAAAATATATAAAAATAATATTTCTAAAATCAATATTAAAACTAAAAAATATAAAATAATTATTTAAAATTATGATAATAATATATAATTATATTTATTATAATAATAAATCATTATATTTATGATGATTTAAATAATTAATTCAAAATTATTTTATCATAATAAATAAATTATTTATCTAATTAAAAAATATTAAATATTTATAGATTAAATATATTTTTATTTAATAATTTAATCTAAATATAATTAAATTAAATAATAATGATTAATCAGACTAGATAATTTAATTTTTTTTAAAGTTACTTTAAAATAAATATTTAATTTTACTAATAATTATATTATAATAATAATATTTTTTAAATTTATTATATAATATTTTTTAAATATAATATATTAAATTATAATATTTTTGACAAAATAAAATAGAAAGAGAGGAGAGAAAAAAATACTAAAACAAAGAGAAAAATAATAATATTATATGAGACGAATTTATTTTTCATTATTAAATTTTGTACATAAACTATCAACCGATCTAATTGAAAAAAATAATCTTATCCATATTTTATTTAAATATTTTTTCAAATTGTATTATTAATGGGATTAATTCTTAAATTGGTTGAATTAAATTAGTTGATAATAAATAATTAAAATTATATTTATTAATTTTAAAAAAATTATAACTAAATTTTTGAAATGTTTAAATTTTAAAATATCAAATTTGATATTTTAAAATATTAAATTTTAAAATTCATTTGTTGTTCTATGTTATTAATCTTAAAACAAATTATTTTATTAAATAGTTGAGATTGATATTTGATCAGTAGGATGTTTAAAGGAAATTTTTTAAGTGAAAGTCTCTAACACATGTGTAGGCAGATTTTTAGTGAAATTTACACATGTTTGCTTTCTTAATTAGCGCTCGAATGTTGATTCATTAACAAGTACACAGTGGTTAATATGTTAATGCATTTTGTTTTGGTAAGTAACAATCTGGTGCCATGTATCTCACGTGTTTTTATTATTTACAGAATAACCATCGCTACGATGGAGATCATTTTTCACCTGTGATGACTATATATATATATATATATATATATATATATATATATATATATATATATATATATATATATATATATTATGTTTCTTTTAGTTCAAATCTATTAAAAATAAAAAAATAAAACGGTTATATATATATATATCACTACTACAAAATATGCTTTCAACGTCGCCATTTAACGTTCGGTTCAAGTCGAGCTGACGTTAAATACACTTTCAACGTCGGTTGGTTAAAAAGCGACGTTGAAAGTTGAATGTTGGTCACATTCTACGTCGGTTCTTAGTCAAACGACGTAAAAGTATTTTCTACGTCGGTTCCCATATGAGCCGAAGCGTTGAAAGTCTTTTTTTATTTTATTTTTTACTTATTGATAAGCGGTTATAAGGGAACCGCTATCTAAAGTGCATATTAGATAGCGGTTATAAGGGAACCGCTATTATATCCTCTCAATTATGATCGATCATTTCAAGTTATGATCGATCAGAATCTAATTTTGCTCGAGCAAGGGTAGTGTCGCTCAAGCGAAATACAACCCGAGAATGCTAATTTTGTGCAGGGCGTTTCGCTCGAGCGAGAAGGGTGTCGCTCAAGCGAGATACATTTTAGATAGCGGTTAACCTGGAACCGCTATTATATTGTTTCAATTATGATCGATCAGAATGCAGTTATGACCGATCAGAACTATTTTAATCGATTAAATCTCGTTTCAATCGATTAAAACAATTCTACACAGCGTTTTAATCGATTAAAACTTATTTTTATCGAGTTAAAATTACTTGAAAAGTGTCACGCGAAAGTTTTGCGAGTATTTCAATCGATTGAATCGCGAAACAATCGATTAAATCAACTTAGAAGATTTTTTGTAAAGTGTTTTAATTGATATAAACGTTGTCGTATCGGTTAAAACAAATCTGTTAAAGAATCAAGAACGTATTAATGGATTAAAAGAAGTTTTAACAGATTAAAGCTGCACTTTTAACAGATTAAAAGAATCTTTTAACAGATTAATTAAACCAGTGATTTTGAAAATCTTCTATAAAAACAGTTTGGCTTGAACTTTTTTAACATACATTGAATATATCATCTTTTACACATCCTTGAGCAATCAATCAATCGCTAATTGCGACCGAATTAAAGTGGGGGTTGGCTCGAGGTTAGAGTTCGACGTCACTAGGGTATGCGTTAGGGTTCGAGCTCCGTTGGGTTTGCGTTGGGTTTCATAGCATGACAATTGGGTTTGACTTGACATTGGGGTTCGATGTCGCCAGAGTTGGGGTTCGGCCTCGAGTTCGTCGAGGTTGAGGCTGGGGTTGAGATTCGAAGTTACTATTTGACATTTTTCTAGTAGTGATAATTACACGGATATATATTTATTTGTATATAAATATAATTTATTTGTAAGTTATTATCAAAAAATTCAAGTAGTTTAGTGGTTGGAGTATTAGCCTCCAACTCTAAAGTACTGGGTTCGAATCCTGCCAATGACAATTCTCTTAAAAATTAAAAAACTTCTAAAAAATATAATATAAAGAGATGGAAGACCTAATAAAAATATAATATGAAGAGAGGGGAGACTTCTAGATAAATAAAAGGGGTAAAGGGGTTGTAAATAAATAAAAATTATTAATTTAAAAAATCATACTTTCAACGTCGGTTCTAATAAACGACGTTGAAAGTAGACTTATGATTTGTATATTGAAAGTTTTATTTGTAGTAGTGTATACTTGTTAAATTTATTTAAATTTAGTCTTATCAACTTTTTAACAATATAAAAATATTACTTAGTATTAATTTTAGGTAAAAATAAAATATTTCATATATTTTAAAATTGGGAAACTATTTTTATCAATTTAAAAATATAAAGATAAAAGCATATTTTTCGACCACAAATTGATGAGAGAATTATTAAATGAGAGATGAAACCTGCAAAGTTTTATAATATACAATAAATTTTAACTAATAAAAAAACTGTATTTAAGTAGATAGATGACAAATATTATTCAATAAAGATGTATCAATCTTCTTATGTCATTGACTCTAAGTCTAAGTCAACAATTCTGTAAATGAAAATGATTGAATAACGCAACAGGTTAATCCTTTAAATATAGGATCATTATTGTCAAGTAAATCAAATTAAAGGGGACATTCCTGAACTTGGAGTTCAACACTTGTGTATAACTTATATACACAATATTATCTCATGACCATACAAATTATACATTTCTAAAATATGCCTCGACTCATCAATAAACCATAGTTTTAAATGATATTAATTCCATTTTTTAAGTAAGATATCAATTTTTTGTAAATAAATAAAAATGTTTTAAAAATTCCACTAAAAATAATTAGTTATTTTTCCAACAACAAAGCATATAAATGAAGAAGAAAACCAAAGACACTATATATTAAAAAACAAAATAATGAAGTAGTTCCATGTTAAAATTATTGAAATTGCAAGGAAATGTGCAGACCCCATTTTGATACAAAACCAAAACTAATTGTTTGGAGTAGACTTCAGAGAAATGGAGTTAAGAATGACTATGAAAAAAAGTGTCTTTCTACAAAAAAAATATATTTTTTCTTTAACAATAAAAATTAAAAACTTAATTTTCATCTCCTTATTTATTTTATTATAATATCATTATTAGAATAATAATTATTTTAGATAATTAGATTAATAAAAAAATAATAATAAAGATAAATAATAAATATTTAATTTTTACTCTTAAAATAAATATTTTTATATATATATTGATAGAACATGTAAATAAAGTCTTAAAAATGATCACAATGTAGTTATAATATATATTTAATCTATTATAATAATCGATCAGAATAATTTTGTTTAAAAAAACTTGATAAAAAGTGATGTTAAAGTAATTAACTTTGTTTGATTGTAAAAAAGTAGAAGAAGAAAGTTTTCATATAAGAAAAGATGAAAGCTAAAAGAAAATAAATCTATTTGAAAATAATTATAAACTACAAATTTTCATATTCAATTTATATTTTAAGAAAAAAATTCTACACATTTAAGCTATAAAGCTATAATCTAAACGTACAACTAAAATTTAGAAACAATTTTGCAAAAAAAAAAAAAAACACAAACTAGTAAATAATAAAATATATTCTATAATTTCACATGGTAGAAGCATAACTGGTGTTAGTGGGATGGGGTAAAAAAGTGAACATATGTTGTATTCGATTATTTCCTCTCCCCCATATAGAACATGGGTCAAAGATAGAAGCACTCTCCCTGGCTATATTTTGCAAAGAAAGCTGTCCAGCCACTTACTTACACCGATTAATTTTAAAATCCTGATTTTCCAATGAGCCATAACCAATCAAGAGCAACACCAGAAAATATGCCACATAAAAGAAACAGCACCAGCAAATTACCCAATGCATTTTGTTCAGGGCCCTATAAAACCATGAAGCCATCATTAGAAATATAACCAATTTATGAAACAAACAAATTCTAAATATAAAGTACAAAAAAAAAAAGTTAATAAAAACACAACTAAATTTAAAAAAATTTATGAAAGGAACAACAACCATGTGTTTCACAAATAATTATTAGATAATTTCATTTAATATATAAAATTAATTTTTAGTTATTTTTTTTATCTATTTATGATTATTATAATAATATAGATGGGTGTCTGATGAATGTTTTGTTTTTAGAAAGGTTGACCATGTATCATCACTTCTTCAGGTTGGAAAAAACACTGACCTTGTAACCTTTTGGTGCAATGGTAAATACACAGACAGTGAGATAACCATTAGTTAGTCCCAAGAAAGACACAAGCATGATCATCCATCCTTGGTCGCCATATTTTGCTGTGAAGTAAAATGCTGGGATCAACAGGAATCTAGAAAGCACTGCAATAAGTAAGCCCTTCCTGGATTCCAACGCCAGGCATTTTATGAGGGGAATATATCTGGATATTAAATCAAGCACATTGTACATTGCAATCAAAACAAGAGGGTACCTAAAAAGAATACCAAATGATGAGCCATGTGAAAACGCACTAAGATGGCCAAATGATTGGGAATTAATACACGCTTACCATGTTCCTAGCTGGTGTGATCCAGTATTTTCATACAAGAATCCAGGGAAAATTGACAGTGTTAACACATATATCAGAAACAAATCAGCTACGAAATCAATGTTCTGTAGCAGTAGTTGTTTATTGCTCAGACGTTCTTGGTTTTTAGCATCAAATCCAACCTGAAATAGTTTCAAAAGTCTTTAAGTATACTGAGATATATTTCCTGAGCTTAGTTTATAAATAATTTTAACACAAGTTACATTACTTGCTGGTTGGTCTCGTTATGAATGCCGGCAGCTGCAAGATCAGCTGATACAGTTTTTGATCCTTCTAATGCAGCCTTTGAACGGTAATATTTTACTATGGACAACTTAGGGAAGTAAAATGCGTATAGAATTATGCAGAAAAGCTCAAAAGCGGTAGAGATAGCAAAAAATAGCACTGCAAAATGAGGAAATAATAAATCTTGTGTCAAAGAAAAGAACAACTTTTAGAGTTAATAGATGAATATCAAATCTACCATGCTGTATAAAACTGCCATAATGGAAAACAAGTGAGTAAAAACTGATCTATGTATCGGTGTCCATTAGTGAATATGAGTAACATACTAGTCCCTTTTCGAAGCCCATTCCTTGAATTCTCAAAACCCACTTTGGTGACAAGTCTCAAACCAGAAGCCAGAGCTCCTGAGGCAGCCAATCCAGCAAAGAAGGACTGTAAAACATTGAATTGTATTATTAGGCTAACTACTCTAAACAAGACTACTATTACTAGACAGTAGCTGTGGTTTTTCTGTCATGTTCAAACTTGTACAAATTAAGCATCATCACTAGACTAATAAAATAGTTTATTTTCTCTCCTAATAACAACAACCAACTTTTTATCTTCCTTTGCTATTCTATAATATCTTTTCCAATAACTTCTATAGCTTATCTTCTCCTTTTGACAAAAAAAAAAAAAAAAAAAAGAACGAAGATTAAATTTAGTTGTACAGTATTTTTTAAATGGGAGATGATACACAAACAACCACAAAAACATGATCACTTCAATTTATTATTATTATAATTATAAAAGGAAAAATAATTTAAAATCAATATTATATTATTAAATAGAGTTGCGGGAGAGTTGTTTTGGAGAAAAGTTGTCTAAAGATATCTTTCTCCTTTTCAATTAAGAGCTAAGAATTTCTCAAAATACAAAACAGCGGAGCAATAAAGAAATTATGAGGAAGCCGAACCTGGATGAACTCAGGACACATAAAAGACAAGTCTCCAACCATACCACCCTGGACATGAGCATCTGCAATTCCAAAACAAGCAGAAAGGGCACATATACCAATGTAAACTCCAATTCCCCCTTTTCCTCCTGTTGCTAGGTCTAACTGTTGCACAAAATATCTGAGGCTATTATACACAAAGCACAATAAATGAAATTAACAACCACATTAATCAGTGGTAGCTAAGTTCAAGCGGTATAAAGATAGTAGATTTATCTTTTGTAAACCAAACAAGAAAAAAAAAAAAAAAAAAAAAAAGAACAGTGAATCGAAGAAGTTGTACTTACAACAAGCACTAACAAAGTACAAATGGAGAAAAGAGAGTAGCCAATTAAGTTCCGCAATCTAGTGTTGACCCTCGACTCATTATACGCCAGTATTGCCATAGTAACAAGTGCAAAGGGTTGATAAACGAGGGTGAGTACACGCGAAGGATGGTATTTCTATGGCAAAAACTTGTTAGACAGACCAATTATACTTCATAATTTCTTCACAATCAAATTCAAGTCAAGCATAAGAAGGACAAATAATTTTGGGTTCGTGAGAACTCACAGGGAACAGACTGTAGTAATAATCTCCTACTGTCAACATACTGTTCCAAGCAACAAGAGATCCCAATCCAAGAATGAAACAAACCACCATTGCTTGGAATTTTCCTCTCTTCAAACAAATTAATCCAACTATTGTAGGTAAGCATAACAACATTGGTGGATGAATAAAAAAAAAAAAAAAAAAAGAACATAATAACAATAACATACCTCCAACCTTCTTGGTGCTTCATTTCCATTAGAAACAGTCATGACTACAATATGAATCTGCTATAACCAGATTGATGGTAACAGAAGACTGGTTAATGATCAGTAATCAAGTTTGGTATTGAGTCAAACAAAAAAAAAAAACATTAAAGAAGAGAGAATAAAAACTGACAAATGAAAAAAAAAAAAAAAACCTGATATGCCTCTTGAACCGAATTACAACTTTGGACGTAGAAACCAGAAATCTGGCCACAAAAAATTATATTTATAGTATCTTGATATATACAGTTATTCTTTTATGATAAATTAATTTAAAATTTCATTAAAATATATGTACCATATAATTTAATTAAAGAAAGATTTTAAAAAATATATGATATTTAGTATATATCTATTTTATAATTAAAATATTAATATTAGTTATCAACAATATTCAATAATTGAATATTTTTAATTGCAACTTTAAAAATTTATTTTATTCTTGATTTGCAGATTTTTGTGTTCTAATTATATTTTACTTCTGGAAATATGGTCACGTTCGTTTATTTTAATTTTCATAATTTATTATATAAAATATTTTTAATAATATATTAAATGAGTATGTTAGCTACGTGATCCAATTGAATAAAAAAAGAATAAATATACACAATTAAAATGAAATCAAATTGTATATTTTTCAAATATTAAAAAGAGAGAGTAAAAAACCACTTATCTAATTCAAAATATTAAAATGGTAGTTTTAAAAAAATCCATAATCAGAAAGCAACTTCGAAAGGGGTTTAGAATCAGAGTCCAAAATATCACAGTATCCATCATTTTTTTTACAACGGGGATTTAGTTGTGGTCATCGTCATACAAACGTAGCCATCATATTTTTTAAATATTTTTTAAAATGAATTAATAATTTCCAAAATAGATTATTTTTTAAGGGCGTTGAACTTTAAAAGAATACGCTTTCACATTTAAAGCATTTATTATTGGAAGACGTAAATCTGTTTTATGCTCGCCATTTTCGGAAATAAGTGATTTTGTTTTGTATAAAGATTAATTGTATATTTAGTAATCTAATTTAAAAAAAATGTATTCTGATTCACTTCTAATATGTGATGTCAATTCTTAACGTATGTTATTATTAAAAAGTTCATATTTTTATTGAAATTTTAATGATATATTTATATAGAACAAAACTGTTTAATTTTGAAAAATGAACGTATAATCAAACTTCTATAATTAAAAGTAAAAATTACATATTAAAAAAAATAAAAAAGAAGAAGAGAGGATGAATTCAATTGGTTGTATATTATTATTATTACCAAAATGGTTATTGTCAATTTCCCATCCCTTTGTCTGAATATGAATCAGTTGAGACTGGGATTTTGTGATTGTTTTTTTCCTAACAAGATAAGGACATGTTACGGGAGAGAAATATACAACCGTAATAGGTCTCAAAATTAAATTTTTAAATATTTTACTTGCTCTTTATCTGCAACAGTTTCTATTTTTTTTATAGCCTTAAATTGAAGTGAGAAATGTCGAGATTCAAAAATATCTTTTTTCTCTCTGTAGCAAATTAAGCTGAATGAAAAAAGTAAAAAAGAAAAAATTGTTGCACATTTTTAAGTCACCCTTTTCCTCCTCATTTTGTATTGCATGAACATACGAGCCCGAGCCCGAGCCCGAGCCCGGGCCCGAGCCGGAACCCAAACGCATCTATCACCGCAAATCAACTGTGGGTAGGCACTAATGAGACAGTAGCACCAACTATACAAATGTTGTGCTCTATGTAAAGATTTACATTAACATGTACATATCATTGCACCGTTTGTGTTTGATTTGTACTTTTGTGTTCTTCATGGTTACGTGAGACGACATAACCGCAAAAATAGGAAAGAAACATTATAATAGAGAGTGTCCCATTCCCTTTGGCATTGGATATCTCTGCACGTATTGCTGGTGTGTCATGCTTTGGTAGTGTTCACTTGATTCCCATGGTCTTTCAACCACAAAATTTTCCTCCCCATCTGGCCCTTGCTCTACATATTGATGCATCACCAACACTGAAGCAGTTGTTTCAAAGTCTGAAGAGGCTAACAAATCCCCAATGGCTCCCAATTCAGGACACTCACTCCAATCTGTTAGGCCATCTGTTAGTGGTGACATTGTCCCTTGTCCTCTCCCAACTATGAACAAGTCATTCACATTGTTGATTGATCTTATTGCTGCAACTGTTTCCTCCCCATTGTTTACAATCTTGTCTATGTACTCGACTGAATCATCATATTTGATCATCTTCTTGAACTCATTTATATACTCCTCATCCAGTTTGTTCTCCCTCCCATTTTTTATAGTGGTGAAACTTCGATCAAGCTTTGCCCATAAGTGATCTGTTTCCGGTGTTGGACTTGAATCCTGGCTTGGAATGAAATGCATGACAGTAAGGCGAACCCTTGGATGTCTTGACATTCTCCATCCATAAGCTAATGCCTCTCTATCATCTGGTCCTCCAAAATATAGCACAGCCACTTGATGAGTTGCTAGATTTCCAATCAAGCGGTTGGATCCATTAAGGCCTCTATCCACAAGTATACCAACTGAGCATGGTGAATTCTGTAGTAGATTGTGGTTCACCATTCTGAGTGCTGGGATTGTATCTTGCATTTCTCCATCAACTGTTTGTTGCTTATGGAAAGGAATGATGATGATGGACACCCTTTTCTCCTCGGCCAAATTGCATATGTCTTCATGCATGGTGGAGTAAGGGGATATGGTTGTTAAGGGTTGGACTTGAGCATGACCAACCTGTTCCTCAAAGTTCTGAAATGCTGTGATGATGTGGTCAGTCTGTGCTTGTGTTTTGTTGAGAGCTGGGCCTCCTGATTGTCTATTAGCATGGACAATGAGCATGGCAGAAGCTCTACCAGTGAGTTCAACCAAGTGGAGCACATAAGCGCACAAGGGAGACCTTTTGTGTGGGTAAGTTGCTTCAAGGAGATTAACTAGCGTGGGGACATTTCTAGGGGTGTGAATACCCACCAGAATCCGTAACTCTGCGTCAAGTCTTGAATTTTGAATTGTTCTCCTTTTGTAAGGTACGAGAATTTTTCTTGGCTTATAAATTAATCTTACAAGGGGTGAAATGAGTGCTGTCATTATGAGAATTACAATGACCATAACTGAAAACATTTTATCACCCAAGACCTGCAACGCCAAGTAATTTGTAATGTTCACATGTTGATCCATTAAGGAGGTATAACTAGATTACCAGAGAAAGAGAGTGGTGTACCTTCTGTTCCCTCCCAACATTCAGCACAATAAGTTCAATAAGGCCTTTAGAGTTCATAAGTAAACCAAGAACTACCCCATCACGGTTTGGTATCTGGAACATGTTTGAAACAAGGACAGTCCCAGCAACCTTGCCAACATAACAGAGAGGAATCACAGTGAGCACAAAACCCCATGCAGTAGCTCCATTGATCAAGCTGATATCAGTCTTAAGCCCACTAAGGGCATAAAAGAGAGGAAGCATAAGGCCTGAAACAAAGTCTTCTAGCTTTTCTATTATTGCAGCTCCAATTGGCCCATTTGGAATAGCTAGGCCATACACAAAAGCTCCAAAATAACTATGTGTTCCAAGGACATCTGTTACGAAGGCTGAGATCATGACACCGGTGAGCACAATGCATAATTGAAACTCACTGAAGGGTTTTCCCTCTGGGGTTCTCTCGATCAACCACGACACTGCTGGTCTAACAATAACAAAGCAGAAAGAAATAAAGACAAGGTTTGATAGCACAACCCACAGAGAGGCCCAAGTGCTAGCTTTTTCATCTGAAAAAGCAATAGCTAGAGCCAGCAACATCCATGCACACACATCATTGATGAGAGAAATTGATAGAGCAAGCTTCCCTAAGTCGGTGTTGATGAGTTTGAGCTCAGCAAGCATGCGAGCAAGCACCGGGAATGCAGTGACTGATAGAACAATACCAACATAGAGGACATAGCAGGTTGGATCTATGCTTGCGTCTGTGTCAGCTATTAAAGAGAATAAACTAAAACCAACCAAAAAGGGCATTACCATACCAGCTAGGGCTATGGACAATGTCTTCTTTCCAGTGCGTTTGATGATCGAAATGTCCATCTCTAACCCAACCAGGAACACGAAGTATATCAGACCCATGTTTGCCATTGTCTCCACCACCATTACACTTTTCAGAGGGAACACAGTATTGGCAAATTTCTGATTTCTACCCAACACTGATGGACCCAAAAGCAATCCACCCTATAAATATAATTTCAAATCATTCCATTCAGTTATAAAATATTTGAAAGCAAAAAATCTATGGCTCTCAAATAAGTCATATCTGCAATACTATGACTGCAAATTAAGGTTACCAAGTATAGTTTAATTAAATTCCGGTTGACATATATGCTCTACATGGTTACAACAAAAACTCTTTCTAAGTAATATATACAGTTTCTTGATCTTATATATCAATTATAGGTCATCTAAAAACTTTTTGATATTTGGAGATGAAAATAATAAAAGAAATTATAACTCATAGCATGAGATTTGGCTGATTTGAAAACTAATATATCATAGATCACGCCGAAGTTGGAAGAGAGAAAATAAATAATGATGATTGTGTCTAATTGGAATAAGAAAGTAAAAGGTGGAAGAGAAATGAAGTATACCAAAATTTCAGCAATCACGCGCGGTTGGTGAAGGGGCTTGAGGATTAAAACAAAGAAACGTGTGGCCAATACAACTAACGTTAGTTGCAAGATAAAGAGAGGAAGGGAATAATCTAAAGGGTTATCGCCCTCCCATAGACCATTTGTTGTTGTCATGAGCGGCGTATAGCAGATTATGGATTTATCTGACATATTAAACGGTGCAATGGTTGTGCCGCTCATTTTGAACAAATGAACAACACAGCCAATAAACACCGTTTCCTTCTTTTGGTATGCAACGCTTAATTGTTTGTCGATCCCCTTCTGAGAAAGATAGCAACAAAAGAAAGGGCAGACACTCCTTGATTGTGTTTTTTCTTCTGGAAAGATGAATGAACACAATCAAGGATCCCTGCCCCAGAAACACCAATATGGAAGAGACGATCTTCACTAACGTTTCTCTCTATTTTTAAAGACCCAACTCATGATCATGACCTCTCTTTAAAATGAGCTCATTCTCTGCATGCCACTTGGACAAACATTATAACTTCTAATCACTGCACCTTCCAATTACTATCAAACCACAAACAAAGGAAAAAATAAATAAAAAACAATATTTCATCACAAAGATTCACATAAAGTAAAAGAATAAGACGATTCATTTAGGGAAAACAAAACTCTTTAATATATATATTATTAGTGAAATATCACCATTTTGGAAATTTTATCATTCAATTTTTGTGCTACATTTTACTATCATGTTTTGTTTTTTAAACTTATTTTACTAATATGTTAAATGTGTAATAAAATAATGATGTTTTCATTAAAACGAGGCCGTTTTATCACAATTTTTTTACTAAATGATGTTGTTTGATACTAACATGATGATAAAATATGTAAAATTTGAAAAAGATGATGATAAAACATAAAAAATAAAATTTTTAAAGGAGGCACTTTTAAAATGGAACGAAAAAGGATCGCATTTTAAAGTTTTATGAAGTTTTTTTTCTTATATTCATTTTTTGGGATATACCTCATTAATTTATGAATGTATTTTTACATTTCAGAAAAAAAAAACATAAAATAAATAGAAAGCGTCCCAAGAAATATTCATTGAATACATAAGCAGTTTAACTATTTTATGAATTGAAGACTAGGAGAGAAGCTCTTGAAGTCTCATAAATATATGAATCCCCATCCTGAAAGTTGAGGAATAAATAATTATTTAACTAATGTTAATTAATTATTTTTTAATCATATTTATTTAAAGGATTTTAATTTCATTTAACCAGTATATAAATATTTTCAGATAATAGTATATATATATATATATATATATATATAAATATTTACAATTTTTGTTTTTTTAATCTTAAGAATTAATTTAAGTACACTTAATATATATATATATATATATATATATATATAAATTTAATTCTTTTTAATCAGCCAATTTTTATAATTTATTTTACTGTATAAAAAAATATTGTAAGTACAATGGAAAATCAGAGGGCAAGATGGGAAAAGTAATTATTTCCTGATGGTAAAACGAACATATGACAGAACAGTATATCCTTGAAATACATCAGTTTAAATTGTGTTAAGTGATGATATTTTCACAACAAGAAATCATACCATCTTTTAAAATCTTTTAAATAATTCACTTTTATTAATATAATAATCTATAAAATGATTTAATAAAAATAAAAATAAATTAAAAATATTATTATAATATTAAAAAAGAATTGTTTATAGGAGTTGGGGTTGTTATTTTGTAAATAAGATTTGACCATAGACAGTACTGAGTTAGATCTTTGATGCTTGTCTAACAGAAGTCACATGTAATGTGGTATATGTTTTGGTGAAGACAAACAATTGAATGTCCCTCAAAACCAGAATGGCCAAGACGTTACAACAGATAATCCCCAACCCAGACCACGGTCAAGTCAAGCGAGACGTTTCTGACACCCTACCCTTCTTGATCATCATCATCATCATCATGTGAACAACTCTGCATTCATGTCGATTCAGTCTTCCATCATGAATTATGGGAACTGTTTAATATTCTGTAACATGAGAGATATGGCACCATTATTAACTTCATCATCAAACTGGAGGTGACCCGGACAAAAAAAGAATGGTCATATTCACTCAGTCTAACAATAATAGTAAAGAATATCAAAACGGGTAGTCAAAGTTATTATTATTGTTAGGATGTCATAGTAAAAGAGGATTCTTTTTTGTTCTTGTTGGGATTCAGATAGGGAACCGGTCAAAGGGAATAAGGTAAAGATTTCGTTGTTATCATTGATGAGAATAGAGTTTTCTTGCTTTTTTTTTTCCTTTATTGTGTTTCAGGCAAAAGCGTGTCCCTTATATCAAAAGCCGAAACTAAAAATTATGTGATACATATACAACATAACTATATTTTTTTTTACACCATTTGATATATTTCAAAATTCTCTATGTACATTTTGTGCACAACTATCACTTATGCCATGAAACAATGTTTAGTTGTTAAGAAGCTAATTTGTTCCTCAAATGAACAAAAAAGGAGGTACTCATGTTTACATTACAAGGGTGTGAAAACAAGTCCCAATAGGACAAGTTGGTTTTCCAGTTGCCACTAGCTTGGACTTAGCGATGGATTTATCAGCATGTTGCAATGTTTAATAGCGCTTTTCTAGGTCAAGAGGGTGAATGCATACCACAACTGTCTCTACCATGGTCTCGTTACCAGATCAAGCAGAGGACCACTTACACTTGATGGTGATGAGTTTTTCAGGTGACCCTTAAATATTCTTACCTTATTCGATGCAAATGACTGGTATAAAATGCATGCATTGTACAATAGCATGCATCTCATTTTAACAGTAGGGCTAATTAGAGAGCTTTAATTAATTAAAGTTTACTAAACAGAATGTAGGAATCTTGCACAGTGAAATTTTATGACACAAAGCATGCACCCACAGCCACAGAGACAGAAGGGAATTGCAAGAACATGCAATTGCACCGTATAGTTTTGCCTAGAATATGTAAGCATGAATTGTTGAATTTAAAATATATGAACGTTATGATATGAGTGGGACATGGTGAATCAAGCACTTTGTGTGGGGATTAAAGTAACGGCGACACTCCTAATGTTAACCAAAACGTTGTCACTTTCATCTCAGATCAAGCGCACATGCTACATTATTATGTTCTCTTTCCTAGATTTTTAAACCTGTAGAACTTTTGTTATCTTTGAGAAGTGGTAGAAAATGTAATAATCCTAATATTCTGTCCAAAAACTTGTTAAACTCTTCAGGTACTCCTCTCACGTCGCTCGTGTTTTTCCTGATTTCTACGCCTATAGATGAGGAAGAGAAAGGAGCAAAGAGCTCATATTCCTAATATGTATGTGTAAATACTACTACTTCCAATAAAGAAGGCCAACAAAATCACTTTATCAACACAGAAAGCGAAGCTTCTCTTTCTTTTCCATCAATTCAGTTACCGTCTTGAGACTTTTTGTCTCTTTGTCTTTCTCGTGCCTTGAATTCCTCAATTCCTCAATAACAATGTACAGAATATAGAACGCAGACTAGGTTATCAAGCAAGGGAAGATGGAGTTTGATCTTGAAGACCCACTAGTCAGCTTGGGGGAAGAGAAAATCTGTAATGTATCAGAACTCTTTGCCTCCGAATCAGATCACATGCCCTCACCAAAGTACTTAAGTTTAACACATTTTCACGTTTTCTGTTGCGAGGCCGTATCTCTTATTCTTCAGGTGAAAGTTGTGTCTATGTAATGGTTCATTTCCCCCTCTTTCATGTCACATTCGCTACATTTTGTTTTGTTTCTTCAGGTTCAGCTTTCTTGCAAATTGGACCCTTTTGTAGCTTATCTTGCTATAAATTACATGCACCGTTTCATGTCAACCCAGGAAATTTCGGTAAGCAGATATCTAATGATCCCTCTTTTAAGCTTTTCCTCTCTTCATAGTAAACTATAGAAACCTTGGAATAATTGTACCTTAATAGCAATCCATAATTTCCAATTTTACCCTTATGCCATTAGTCCTGAGTTTGCAGCAGGGGAAGAAGTGGTATCTCAGGCTTGTTGTGGTATCATGTCTTTCTCTCGCTTCAAAGATGAAAAACACAACTTTGTCATTTTTGGAAATGCAGGTAAATCTTCAAATTCAGATCATTTCAATCCTTTTGATAGAAGGACAAACTCTAACCATGCCATAGTAACTTGAATATGTGGTGTTATAATCAATGAAACAGAAAGAAGATTGTAACTTTAAGGCTCAAAGTATTCAGAAAATGGAGCTTCTAATTCTCGGGGCACTGAAATGGCGTATGAGGTCAATTACACCTTTTTCTTTCCTGCACTTCTTTATCTCTTCAGCTGAAATTGAAGACCAATCACTGAAGCAAGCACTTAAAGAGAGAGCTTCTGTGGTAATCTTCAACGCTCAAAATGGTACCTACTTGTTTCTATTCGTACGTGTATATTGATTTTATCTAAAATTCCAACCAGCACAAACTCTGAAATGCATCTCTCTTATGGCTGCAGACATTAAGCTTTTCAAGTATAAACCTTCAACTATTGCTGCAGCTGCCCTTATCTTTGCATCTCATGAGCTATTCCCACAGCAATATTCTATTCTGAGAGCTTCAATTATGGCCAGTGAGTACCTACATGAGGTAAAGATTACACCTACCCTTGAAAGCAAAATGTTTTGATTCTTAGCTGCTGTACCGTCTACATATTGATGATGGTTGTTTTAGGAGACATTGTTCAAATGCTTTGATTTGATGCAAGAGATTATGAGAATGGTAGCAAAGGAGTTAAAGACAGATACAAGCTTTTTAATAGCAGAAACTCCAGTGAGTGTGCTTGAGAGAAACACCAAACGACAAAGAATTTAATGGTCTATTGCAGAAACAAGGAGGAAGCTGGGGGAAAACAATCATGTTTGGTCCATAATTTCTGTGTCACTGTTTCCATTCAGTTCAGAACAAGAAAGGGCGCAAGGCATTGGTTTGAAACAGAGAGTTGAGAAATCCAGTACACCCGTGAGTGTCGTTCAACATAAAAATTTACTGTAATCTATTGCATAAAATGAAATTCAGAAAATAAATTATTAAATCATGGAAACTTCAATTCTAATTAAATAAGTAATAAAAGTACTTGCCAAACTAAATATAAACTTGATCATATTTTGAATCTGAGTGAAGTTTATTGATGTTGGGACAGAATTATATGATAGCGTGGCATATACATTCCTTTTCTAACATTGATACATCTTATTAAGGCCCACAAAAGAAAATGGTCAACTTTTAATCCCATGGCAATTAAATGGTGCCTTCAATCTCACACAAGAAGTTCTAACAGCTGTGGTCCAACCAATGTATGATTGTTTCACTGTTCTGGGCTTGGCTGTAAATGAATACATGTAGGTCACTTCATATGTTCCCTACGTGGCATTTTTGAAAGATAGGGAAGCCAAAACATTGTTCTATTTCTAGATGGATGATAGAATCTATTGCTTTTAGGAAAGAGATCATTATCATGCATGTCTCCTGCCTTTTTCTAATAATAATCATGTTTTCTCGGGTCTTCTTCTGAGACGATGTTTTGTTAAGAATTGGAAATTTAATTTTCAAAAGAGCTTCTTTATATAACCAATTTCCCACTTATTAAAAAACCCTGTTTCAGAGTAAGGATTTTAATGAGAATTCCCTGCATTAATGAGTGAAAATTGGCAAAATCACCGGCAAATGATTAACTTGGCCAAGATAAAGTGAGTATAAATCAAATGAGCTTTTTAACATTACAGGGATCAAATAATTATTTTTTCCAATCACTAAATGAAATATATCATCAATACAAATTCTGCCCCTGATAATTTTTTTTACCCTCCCTTAATATATAAAACTTTACAAATATTTTTGAGAAGGAATATGATTTCTACCATTTTATAATTTATATTAGTAATTATGATTTGAACTCTAATTATTAAATATCTTTATTTATATATTTACAAACCTTTCCCTCTTTCATATTTTTTTCATTTTTTCATATTTATATATCAATAATATATTACGTGATTTTCTCAAGATTAATAACTAAATTTTTCTATTGTATTACACCTTCGTATCAACACTTGTATATCGTGCACTTTCATTTGAGTATTATTTTCACTTTAAAATTTGTTAGTAATTTATGCTTTGATTCATATAACATGTGTATCTAAAACTCCTATAAAAAAAATACACATGATTTATTTTTGTGATATTACAAGTTGTTCAATCTGAAATATATTTTCGAAAAAAAAACATAATCCAAAAATAAATTTTGAATAGATTATTTCAAAACTTAATTTTAAATTGTATTTTTTGGATTCAAAAATAAAAAACTCATTTTTGAAATATATTTTTTAAAAATATATTCTAAAAACGGGTTCTGACTGTAGAATCTAAATTATATTTCTAAAAAATACAATCTAAATGACTCTTAGAAAATATAATTCAATAATAAATTTTAGAAAATACAATTTAAAACTTATTTTTAAATTATGTTTTCTAAAAATATAGTCAAACAAGTTTTTAATAGGTACGTGAATACGAAAAATTTGAGAAATAAACTCTCCAAAACATATTTACGTTAAAAATAATATTGATATATTAGATAAATATAAGAATGAAAAAAATATCGGGTGCAACAATAATCAGGCGAATGAATTAATGTACAAGGCTCAATGACGTAGGAAAAGAAAGGAACTTCTTTTTACATGATCATGTGATGAATTACATCTTTGTCTTCTTATTTCATTTCTTCACCAGAAAAAAATTATTGAGCAAACAGTTCCTGCTAGGAATTTATAAACGTGTCTATTTGGGTTCTGTGACATGAAAAAACAAAGTATGTAGTATTTTATTAATGAAAAGGATTTCAAATTTAAGATATTTTATTAATGAAAATAATTCTTTCTCCTCGTTCAATAAAATCTAACAACATTCCAAGCCAAAATACACAGGTTTACTGTCTTATTAGCATTTCAGTTTAAAAAATTACTAAATATGTCAAACATTTAGCTAATTTTTATATTTGGGTACATCAAATAGAAAATGTTATTAACTGCACTACTTGTCATTAAATATATTTTTATATTTGGGTACATCAAAAGCTTTAATTATTCGTAATTTTGGTTAATTATTTCTCATTTCTAATTGATCGTGACTTTTTACAAGATAGAAAATGTTATTAACTGCACTACTTGTCATTAAATATAATTTTATAGTATTTAATAAGGAATTGAAAAAAATTACAAATTTTATAAAATATAGAGACCAAAATTGCAATTACAAAAGGTTTTGTTAGCAATAGTAATTTTGATTTAACTTTTTTTTTACAATAAGAATATTATGTTAAAACACTAGAATTTGACGACTTATTAATTTGAATCTTTTCAAAAGTAAAATGGACGACTTTCTTGCGTATTTTTATAAATGAATAATTTTAATTGCAATTATTTAGTTTTTTTTTTAAGTATGAAATTATTTATTCAATCGTAGATATGCTACTTTTTAGTTGAACGTGATTGATCCTATGAATTAAACCAAATAAATTAGGAGAGTGTTCTGAGATTTTAAAAGTTATTTTTATATTAAACATTGTGTATATTTTATAGTAGAAATGTATTGATTATTTATATATTTTCAAAAATATTTAGTATCTAAAATTTTTCAATTTACATTTTAAAAGATTTATAAAATTTCAACTTATAATGTTTAAAGGATTTTACGAATTTAAGAGAATCTTAAAAAAGTTATAAATTTTTCATATCTTTATCTCTTGTTATTAAAGTGGCAATGTGTACCAATTCATTAATTAAAAAAAAAAAAAGAATGAGTTGGACATTTTAGTACTACCCAAATTATGTTCGTCCTCCCACTTTGTTACTTATTAAAACAATTATTATAAATATGTAATTCATTAAAATAATTATCCTAAATAATTTTATTTATTAAATAAATAAATTTCTTTTATTTATAATAAATATTAATTTAATTAATTTTAAAATGAATTAGAAAAAATAATCATATTTGTTAAAAACTGAAAATATCAATCAATTTAAATTTTAAAAGGAAAGAAATAAAAATGTTTTATTTCAAAATGAATGAAATACTATATTAGGAGGAAATTGTAAGTACATAAGATGATAAATATAACTATGTATTTAATAAATAGTGAATTCATTAATTGATATTTAATAAATAGTGAATTCAATAAATATGCGCAAGAAAAGTTTGGTATGAGTTTAATTAAAACAATTAATTAATTAATAAAGTATCATTAACGGTCATTTTTCAAATCACTGTTATATTTTATGACATTAGCAGTATTTTCAAAATAGTTAATGAAATTATTGAAAAGAAAAAAGTAAATAACACAAAATTTTAAACATTATAAAATATTACTTTTTTCAGACTCATGTATATGTAAATAAATATTACTTTATATTTTTATTTTTCTAAAAATATGCTTATTTAATAAAATAGACGGATTTCTACTCTTTTTTGTGTGTTTATATAACATGTTTATTTTAAACATAAGCAATGATCAGCTTATTTTAATGAGCAAATCTTATATACTTCTTAAATAAGTTATTTAAAAAAAAAACTATGTATTTAAAAACTATTTATTTTGAATTGAAACAAAGTGATTTTATATTTAAAGTTAATTATATTTATACAATTTTTTTAGATTTGTTATACGAGTAAACAAGTGTCATTAAATAATAGAATTTCAAATAATTGGGATTCTATATCCAATAACTCTCCTTGATACCAAGTTCAAATAAGAGTACTAGGTATCACACCTTCATGGGAGAGTCTAAATTATAATCAATTTTATTAATAATATATTTTAAAGAAAAATTAATTGATTAATCAAATAATTTTTTTATAAATTTATTTATTCAGGAGATTCATTTATTATTTATATGTATTTTTTTCTCTTATAAATTTTTATATTTTTTATCTCTCTTTATTTACTTTATATTTTTTTCTTTTATATCTAACTTTTTTGTTTTCTCTCTCTTCTCTTACTTATTTTTTAAAATACAATTACTATATTAAAATAAATTTTTAAAAATTAACATAATAAATAATTATTTATAATAACAAAAATAAATAATTTAAAAATATTTTATTATAATAAATATATTATTTATCTAATTAAAAAATATCAAATATTAATGAGTTCAATATATTTTTATTTAGTAACGTAATCTAATTAATTAGGTTAAGTAAGATTGAGTTTTTTTTTAATATTTATTAAAAAATTACTTCAAAATAAACATTTAAGGTAATTGAACAAATATTTATTAAAAAGTTACTTTAAAATAAGTATTTATTTTTCTATTAATAATTATAATATAACAATAATACTTGTAATAACTTAAATTTATTATATAATATTTTTTTAAAATATAATATATTAAATTACAATATTTTGGAATAATTTAAATATTTTTATTTTTTTAGAAATAATAAAAGACTCATTTATCAAATGTTGAGATAGTATTTTTAATAAAAAGAATAAGATAAAATGAAGAAAAAAAAACAAGAGTAAGAGAAAAATAAAGAACAATAAATAAATGAAGAGAAAAAAATTTAAAATATAAATCAAAGAAGAGAACAAATAATTAACTAGTAAGACAAATTTATTTTTTATTATTAAAATTTATATATTAACAATAAATAGGATTTATTCGAATAAATAAACTTACATATATTTCATTTGATTATTTTTTTAAGTGTATTATTAATGGAATTCATTGTTAAAATTAATGCAAGATACAAAATAAGGAAAGATAATCATTAAATAAAAGTAAGTCCCCACCCAGATTTATAATCTCTAATAATCTTTTAAAAAATAATAAAAATGTGTTAAAATGGAGCGTGTGGAAAGCATTTTATTAGTCAAATATCGATTGCAGGTTTAATTTTCTTTCAAAATTTTCAATTTTTACTAATATGTTCGCTTTTAATATTGCATATTAATTAATATTTCAATAAAAATCCAAAGACATTGTAACACGAAAACTCAATATTTTATCAAATGAAACAACTAACATAAATCAAGCTATAGTGAATCAAACTTGAATGGTTCACTATATAATACACATTTACGATGAAAATTTTCCAACACTATAATCAAACTACACTGCAGCGGGGTTTGGTAAAAATAAGACCCCTTCATGCAATGCAAATTGTAAACTAACATGTTCCCCTCCAATGGTTTTAAAAACAACTTAGTTTAACCATTCCTATTTCCTAGAGGGAATGAATCATTGTACACCAGTTTGTGTCCACCTATGAACCTGCCTTGCAGCAGCCATTTCATTCATCTATTGCCCAAGAAATTTGATGATGACAACTTGGAATGATATATGCACTGCAGAAACTAGGCATAGAATGAATTCAGACGAAGAACAATTGTTTCAAGAACCATTGCTAGCCGCATCTGTGCTGTTTTCCGTGCAATTTTCATCAGTAGACATCATGGACACAACAGAAGGAGGACTTAACTCAAACAGAGGTTTCCTTTCATCTCTATAGCTAGCTATACATAGTGTGTCACCCCGACCGTGCCATGTCCCATTTTGAACATTGTTCATCTCAAGTGTTCTTGATTCCTGCAATATATATTACAAATATTCAACACAGTGGATAACTCCAATTACACTCATCTCAGTCACCAAACACTATTCACAAAAAGGAAAGGATTTTGAAATGACCTGGCATAATGTGCAACAAGGACAGACAAAATGGTAGGCGCAGTCGTCCAACGAATTATCACTACCCTGAAAAAAAATCACTAATCAGTAGTGTTTTAGACAGTCAAATTTTGTCAAAGTTAGTAAACAGAACCTGGTATTCTCTCAGGTGTTATACCACTAGTTTGTTATCCTCAAACACACCTATTTAAACTATACATTCCATTCCAGTCCATCCATGTCAATAGCCAAATTTACACAAGAATCGGTATTAATGCTCCCACTGAGTAATTATTTTTGAATAAATATTCTGAGAGTATGTATATTGTATAATGCAACATATCTTTAGTACTTCATAGAAACTATGAAAACAAGACAAAAACCTCTATGAAGAAAGATTATGTCTGAAGTAAACAACTAAAGATAATCCGTCCCTGAATTATAAAGGGTTAAGGTGAAGATACACATAAATTCTTTAAACTAAATGAAGGGTGGATATATCCTTACTGTAGTAGTCTGTAGAAAAGCCTTGTGCAAACAAGACAAAACACATAATTCAGGGAGAAGAAAACATGCAAATAACTCCATCGAAACGAAACATATCTATGAATAACTAAATTACAGCATAGGAAGAAAAAACTCACCTTGATGTTGAATTTCTTTCGCATTCGAGTTCGGTAGAATCCTAAATATGCTCCAACAGCAATGGTGAATGCAACCGCTAGGTATAGGAAGTAGCGAGTCCTCGTGATAGTATAGGCAACGAAAGTAACAAGGGCACCAATAACAAGGAGAAAATAAACTATAGCCTGCAATATTAAACATGGAAATTCAAACTTCAGATGGCTAAATTGACAAAAATTAAAAAGAAAAATTCACACAGAAATTGCCAATTGTAAAAGTGATTCCCTTCAGTTGGAGTTACAATTTGACCACTCTAAACAACATATGCACTTTGAATTTCAAAGAAACTTAAATATACCTGGATATAGCAAGAACCAAAACCAGCTAGCTTCATGTTCTTCCCAAATCGGTAGCAAGGACAACTGCAACACGGAATGAGCTACTATTTACAAACATGATAACAAGTCCTTGTAAATTACAACAATCTCACAGCACATTCTTGGTTTCCAAAGAGGCGTTAACAAAAATACATTGGTAAAGGAGAAGAACAAATATGTTATTGAACAATCAAATTAAAATCATTTTAACTTAATCCCTCAAAACCCAACCAAATATATCAGTAACTCAGAAATAATTAATATCAATGTCACAAATCCCTCACCCCCAGCACTGCGAAAATAAAAAAATCAGACTCCCTTCTTTAGTTCTATCATTTAAATCATGAAACCATAAATTTATGAACGGAAATCCATAGCCAAAAATGCACACTAAACAGAGACCCGCTTTCCAGTTGCACAATTCACATTCCCTACATAGTTACATTAGGGACCTAATGAATAATGACCAAATAGGACATCTTACAGGACAGAAATTAAAACCTTGTAAGGACTTCTCAACCCGGAAATGAAGGATGGATAATTACAATAACCTAACTATTTTCCTTTCCAAAATCAGTATAGCTTCAGACAAAACTAACGCCGTCCTCGTCCAAAACAAATGTATTGTTCCAAACACACAACTTCACATCATAGAGTAAAGTACAAGAGAACATGTAAAAACAAAATATTACTATTTTTTTTTCTCGAATATAAAGCACATAACATTAAACCTCACCACGCAGATTCAAAAGCGATGCGACGATCCTCAAAGCAATCGAGGAGTTCACCCTCCCACATCCTCAAAACCCCACCTTGATGCTCCTCTTCCCCACCCCGAAGCTTCCCCCAACTTCCATGCGCACTTCGCAACGCCACAGAGGAACAAAGTTTGTCAAAATCCACAACCGCCTTCCCATCCAAAAGCCTCTCCTTTTCTCCCTCCCCATTTTCATCCCTTCCCTCTTCCACCCTCTCTTGCTTCTCCAAATCCCCCATTGCCCAAAAACAAGGTTTATCCTTTCTCTTCTCTTTCCCCCAAAGATCCCTGCTTTTCAATCAAGCCCTCCCTTTCCAAGACGCCCTTTGTTATTTTGCTTTACGGGGTTTCAGCAAAGAGAAGGAAGAATATCTTTTTCTTCAAAGAAAAAAAAAAAAAAAAGAAAAACAGTGAGAAATAGAAACTTAGGAACAGGGTTTGTTCTGTTGTTGGTTGTGTCGTGGTGGCTTTGTGCGTAGGTTATGCAATGAGAGCGAGTGGAAAGATGTTGCTCCGTTGATAATAAATAAAATAATAATAACAATACTAAACAGTGTGATCCCTCGGTTGGCGGGTAATAATACGTGTGGGACCCACAAGCCTAAAAAGTGTATCAATTTGGATGGTACCGCAGCTACCAGATCATCACGGGAATATAGGTTAAGATTTTATTTTCCCGTTAATTACTCGTTTTAGTTTAGGGTCTACTAATTTTGATTTTGCTTGTTTTCAATTCGGGTAATTTTGCTAATAATAAACGTTATCAATTTCTCATTCTGTATAAGATGGGATAGATAATAAATAAATCTTTAAGAATGTCAAACTCGCATGCCAAAAATAATTGCATGGTGTCCCTTGAAGAAATTTGAGTCAAACGTTGAGATTGGAGAAAAAGATACGGTCTTTTGCAAATTGGATTATATTTGAAGCCGATTTCACTGTCAAAGTAACAAGTTGCATTTTCTAATATGTGGCTTTTATAGGTTTTGATTGGTTTGCTTGAATATAGTAATAACAACAGAGATATTTAAAATAAAGAAATAAATAAAAGAACCTTTCTTCAAAATTTTGAAATCTTGTTTTGTTAAAAAGGATTAATGTTGATCAGGAAACTATGGTAGTATTATAATGTAAAAATTATTATAATACTACATGTCGTTCGAGCTAGTTGCATTCTATGAAAAGTTTGGTCTTTTATGAGTTTTTTCTATTTTAAGTGTCCCAAATTCACGTTTCTTTTAAGAATTTACTATAGTTGAAATTGAGAAAGTAGAAGAAAACAATTGGATTTACACTTTCATATTGTGCATAGCGTGAAAAAGCATGAGATTTAAATCATTTTTAGACCTATAATTGATTTAGAATTTAAAAAGGAAACGGTGCATACAAAATTATATTTTTTTGCTTTTAATCTCTTAAAAATTTATTTTTTAGATTAAGTAATGGATTGGTAATTTAGAAAATTCGTGTCTTAGATTAGTCAAATCTTTACATAATTGTATTTTCAAATTAAATTTTTTTTAATGAGAATTTATATATAACAGTTTTTTAAAAGCTTAATTGACTGTGTAATGTGTTGACCAGATTTAAATAGCGTTACATAACAATAACTCGTGATAAATTTTTTCGATTTTAAAAATGAAAATGGAAAAAACCAAGGTGCAAATTTGTTAGGTTGAGTTAAAACATAAAAGGTTGGGAACTGGTTTTCCACATGATATCAATGTCATCTTTATATAAAGAAAGAGGTAGGGACAAAACATAAAAAAAAGAATGGGATAATAAGATAAGTAATGAAGTGTAGATATAAAGAAAGAACGCTGTGCCTTCATGTGCCATTCCCACCTTACCTTACCTTCGGTTTTATTTTGTGTCTTGGAAATATAATGTTTTTCCAAAATAAGTATACGTTTAAAATTTTAAAATTGTTTATATTTTAAATTTGATATCGTCTAAATTAGTATTGTAGAAGATAATTCACGTATATTATAATAATTTTAAACATTATTTTTTTGGCTGTAAAAATTAAAGTATATTGAGTGGTATCCGGTACAAAATGATGGCGACAATAGAGGAGTAGCAGAATGTAGGACCTTTGCCTGAGAACGATTATTCTGGTTTTGAAGTGTAGTTTCAGGCTAATAATGTTTGAATTTAAGATGTTAGGCAAACTAATTAAAGATGGAGTGGGTTGAAAACGAAAGAAATACACAATTTCTTGTTTGCATTATTTGTTGTTTCTTCCCTCAACAAACCCACGTACCCGGAAAGATTTTGACTAAAAAAAACACCTCATCTTCTGTTTTTGTATATCATAGCAGGGAAGGAAATAATTATGGGCAAGAGCATATACATAGAAAAAATTAAGCAAAAAGTATATTCATATTCCTCCAAATATCCTAAAATGTTAATTCTTATATTTTAAGAGAACACTTTTCATCTTTGATAGAAAATAAGTAAAGAGAAACATATTTGTGCAAGAGGAAAAGATAAATATAAAATAATAAAGAAATATCTTAAAAGTTCTTTACTGTAACAAAATTAAGTGTGAATTGTTTTGATGGTAGTTAACGTATGAAAAACATCAAATGAGTTACTATTAAAGTCCTGGTGATGTTCTCACCAAAATGGCAAATATATGCAGTAATCAAAATAATTATTAATATTAAAACAAAAAGATCCCAACTTCATCTATCCATCCAAAGTTTATAGCTGTCTACTAATAATTTCAAATTAGCAAACCTCATCAACATGGTAGATGATTTCTGGCCCACCAACCTAAAGTGGTGACAGCTACAGCTAAGAATGGATCCATTTTTACAACGTAGATAAGACATCAAAGCTCGTTTTTCCAGTTATCAAGGTAGATAAGACAGATAATGATTACCACGGTAACAAGGTAACTTCATTAAGAAAGGTTAAAGCACAAGTTTCTGCTCCTGAATGGAGTATCATACACACCGACAACCCAAATCAATTAGGCGTCAAGTTTTCATTGCAGGTCTAACCAGCCCTAATCCAGTACCACTTCCCAAATGCTTGAAGTCCGTGGCTTGAAGATGATCCCCATGAGCAGTAAAACCTGTTCCTCCCTTCTCCAAATTCACCAAATTTCTCTCTTTACAAGCCTTGTTGCAAACAAGACACACTTTATCAACAGCCATAAATCTGTCAGCACACTTCTTGCAAAATACATGGCCACATGAACTGAGGGCCACAAGCGACATTGTGTTGGTGAGAGTAACTTTGCAGCTTGGGCAAATGTAGGTCTTGTCAAGTACCTTGGATTTTTTCTGCTCACTTGTATCCTCAGTAAACTGGACAGGGAAAAGTGTCTTCAACTTCAGTTTCTCCTTGCCTTCCGGGCAGATGGTACTGGTAGAAGGTGCTTCTACTTTAACAGAAGCTTCTGGCGTAGCAGAAGGCAGCCAAAATGCCTTCATCGTCCGTAGGGCTTCTTCCTCATAGGAAGTGACCTTCACACTGTTTGCCCCATGGAAACCATTTTTATCCCGGCTATAATTTCTGTCACTGTATTGTGGTACAGCACCATGATTTTGTTGATCAAATGCATCAAGCTCTTTAGCCTTTTGCAACATCAACTTCTCTTCTTCCTCCTCCTTTTCTTGCTTCTGCTGAGCAGCATGGGCTGCAAGTTTCCTGTTTTATTAAAAATTTCAATATCGCAACCACATTGTTAAGGTTCACAACATAACACCCATTGTATCCACAACAAGGAAAAATATACTAAACATAAACAATATGGATTTAAAAGTTACAAGCAATCAATGGAAGTACCAGCAAATAACATAGAACAGCAAATCTTCTTGATATGAAAGGTAAAATCATTTTCTTCATTACAAAAGAAATTAAAAACGTTAAGCAATGGTTTATAAAACATATAATCTTACATGATAACCACATGCAAGATCTAAAGCAGAGATAGGATCTTAAGGAAATACTTAGAGAGAAAATATTAAGAAAAAGTAAAGCATTATAATTTATAACGTATATCAATGTTTATGACAAATGAAAGTTAAATTAAACGGAGTCATGGAAAAGCTCATGGAGAAGTGGTAATGATCACAGGGAAAAACAAAGCTCAGGTAATATAGTATTGAACTTCATTGGCACACAGAAATGATCAATCGTCATATGAAATTTACAAAATAAAAAGTAACCCCCGGTAAATGATATTGTTATGACTCATGATATAAAGTAATAGTTTTCATTTTTTTAGTTAATTTGCTCAACTAAGGGAAGAATCCCCTCAATCATTATTTCATTAACAAACACAAGCAGAAAAAAAATCTTAAATAGTGGATTTCATCCTTTTTTCAGTAAGGGGGGAGGGGAAGGTAAAGGGGATGGTGTCCCTACAATCCTGCAGTATTCATTTAAAAGAACCCAATGAAATACATAGTAAGAGCAAGCACGTTAAAGAATTAAAACACATTGAACAAGTACAGTAATTAAACAAATAGATAAAAATTACTAAAATTTTCCATTAACCTAAATTATCTCAAGCATTTCACATGAACCCATCCCCCTACCATTAACAAATATAATTAGACACCAAACACTACAATTCAATTAATAATTAAGTATCTCCAATTTCTAAACCAGTCGTCAGCATAATTTTCAATCACCGTATACTTAGAGTTGAATCATAGACTTTGCATTACAGCCACAGAATAATAAAGGGCATCAAATGAATACCTTTGAATGTCTTTCTTCTGAGACAAGAGGCACTGAAGAATGCACTCTTTGCAAAAGAGATGACCCTTGTGGCAGCTCATGGGATCGATTAGGGATTTGAGGCAGAGGCAGCACGCGTCGAAGGGCTTGATGGAGTCTTTCCCCAATCTCTCTTTCTGGGTTCCATACCCTAGTTTTCGCTTCTCGTCGTACGTGAAGAACGCGAGATCGTTGTTGTTCTTCGAGTGTCTCTGAGGCATCTTTTTCCCCAATCACAATTCTCTACTTTAACAGCGATGAACCCTTGATCACACCAGAAACAATAGACTGATAGGGTTTCAGATCTTGGACATCGACTTGGTTCCGTCGAGACAAGGAAACCGAACGAACCAACGAGAATTGAACTGGACCCGATAATGGATTGGGCCTCTCAGTTTTATTGGCGTTTTCAAATTTGTCACATTTTCCCAATTTTATCTTTTTATCCTAAAACAAATATATTTTTGACCAAATTTAATTTGAATAAGATAAGATGTAATATAATTTAGGCCAAATTATACTTTTAGTTTTAATTTTATTTGATATATAAGATTCACGTTGATCCTTTAGCTTTTCAAAAATTATTTGGATACTTATCTTTTAAAAAAAATGATTTCAGTTATTTATTTTAAATCGTTATAATTTGATTTTAAGATGGGATTTCAAATTATTTTTTACTTTTTTTACATAATTTTCATTTGTGTTTATGGTATTTTTTTTAATTTGAATATCAAATTTAGATCTACAGTGTTCATGAATCAATAAAAAAATATATTCAAAATCCTACTCCAATATTAAAAAAAGTGATAAATATTATTAAAGAACTAGATTTTTAATGATAAACTATCAAATTAAAAATTTTAAAAGATAAAATAATTAAATTATAATATATGAGTAAGACAAAGGATATTATTTTTTTATAACTTATAAAAATTAAAGAATATTTTGAAATTCTGATTCCGATCAAGATATGGAATTACTCAATCCATGGTTGAATATATCATAAATTAAGATGAATATTATCTATACTGAGAGGGTGAATTTAATTGAGATTTCAAAAGATTTTTCTTTTATATGAAATGTGATGTGGTATTCAGTCAAGATTTTTAAATTAAAAAAAAAAACTTCAATATCAAAATTATTTTAAGACAACGATTTTTTTACAGTATCTATTAAAACTTTAAAAGCTAAAGGAATTATTTGATATCTAAAATTATATAACTTTTTATTAGGTTACTTCTGTTGATTATCTGTACTAAATTTTGTGTACTTTTTATTTCTATATATAATAAGGCTATTACAAAATAACTTTAATATCTAAATATGATAAAAGTAATTTATATAAAAAATTATTATCTCTCTTTATTTACTTATTTTTATTTATCTTTATAACAAAAGTTTAAAAACAACTGAATTCTTTCAATAAAAAGTTATTTGAATTGCTTCAATAATATAATTCTCATTTCACATGATATTTTATTCTCATTCAAACTTTTGTCCTTATAAATAGTGTGAACAGTGATTTCAAACATTTTTAAAAACATAAATCATAGTCTTTTTAGTTAAGAAAACTTTAAGTTGGATCTTTTAAAATGTTTTTGTTTTCTAAAAACAAAACTAGATTTTATGTTTTAATCATCCATATGAAGTATAGGGATATCCTTTCAAAAACTACAAAATGTGAACGCGTATCTGTAAACATTTTAAAAAATATTATAAAATAAATAATAAAAAATTATTTTGTATTTTTTAGTAAATAAATTATTATCAAATTATATTATTTGCGATGAAATTCATATTAAATTAGTAAATAAATCTTCATGTTATAATAATAACTACTAGTAAATTACAAATAAATTATAGACATCTAATATAAGTGGCAAAGTTTGAAATGGTAACGAATTAAATTTAAATTTATAAAGGACATTTGACCTTAAGGCCAAGTTTGTTCAGAAAAGACATTTGACATGTGTGGGATACAAGAGGGAGAGTGGTGGCTATAAATTCAAGGTAAAGGATATATCCATGAGGTAGAATATTTTCCACTAGTGGTTCATACACACACACGGTACAATCAGAGACAAATCAGAAAAACCAACGGCTTTGGTGCAGAAAGAATCCAAGGAATAAGCACATATTGCATAACCCAAAAAATATCTCTCATCCGTGGTGGTAAATTTGGCCAAATTAAAAGCTGACACTCATAGCCACACATGGGTTTCTCTTCTAGCAACGCAACCATTTTCATACACAGTCATTGCATATATAAATCATAACCCCATCACATTCTCCTTTTTTTTATTCCTTCAAATCTTGTTTCCAAACTTTACTTTAGTTTAGTTTAGCATTCTTTTGGATTGTACTGCCCATGTTCAACTTGGTACTTAAGTTCTACATTGTATATACATGGAAGGCACGTGAAGGTGTTGGACTTGCTTGGTCCCACTTCCTTATTCTCAGGTGCAAAACTTGATAATAAACCTATTTTATGGTGAATCACATTAGACAAGGCCATTTTCTGTATTCCTTATTCTCAGGTTCAAAACATAAGAAAGATTCTAGCCAAGGCAATTATCCTAGATCAGACAATTCTTCAGTCAGGGAAAATCAGCGTTTAGAAATAAGTTTTCCACACATTTCGTGTTGGGAGGAGGGCCATGTTATCACATCAAACAGAAGTTGAGTGCACGAAGAGTGATTAAACTGCTATAATTAATTGGTAGTATTGAAGTAACAAATTCTAATAACTAATGCAAGTGGGCAATCTTTGATTAGAGCAGCAAGTTGAATGCTCTATGATTGCGACCCGTCACTATTTTAAAAACAAGAAAATCGAATCAATAGTAGTGTATGTTGGCATTCGGAAAACTGAAACATATTGTGACAGACTCAAATTTCTCAAATCAAGCTGCCAGATAAAACAAACGGAGAAAGATTACAACAAAAACTTGTGGCACCTGAATGAATGGATTTGTAATAGGCACGAGAATCAAAGTTCGTATAAGCTGATTTGAGAGACTAGCCAGCACTCTTAATTACCTTCTGTATTCGACTATGTTGCAGATTCTGACAACATATCAAACATATCAATGGCAGCATTCACTACGAGAGAGTGGATTCATAATATTATCACAGCACAAAACTAGCTGACTTTGTTATTTGTGAAAACCTACCGAACGAAAAACCTAGCAGATGGACGCGTATCTTAGGTTTATGCAAGACATAACAAGCCAAAATTTCTCCAGATTAGAAAGGGAAAAAGAAACAAGAATGGACAGGAAAAAAACTCTAGATACAGTTTTTTAGGATGTTGTTTATACTGTTATTTCCTCAAAATTAGAGTTTCATCTTATTGATTGACGTTTATAAGAGTTACATTAAAGTTTATATAAAAACTCTAATTCTGATCCAAAAATAACATAAACACACTGAAAAAACTGTACCTAAATTTTGTACATCAAGATGTTGGAAGCATTAATCCGAGGCACCCTCTTCAACATTGGAGAACCTGGTAGAACTAGTTGCAACACTCTTTGAAGAAGTGGAAGCTGGGGGTGGAGGTGTAGATGTCCATGGAACCACTTGATTTTCTTCATCATCTTCTTCCACACCACCCTCTTCGTTTTCTACATGATCCTCCATCGTATCATCATCATCTTCATCATGATCATCATGGTCATCATCATCTTCATCATGATTTTGTTGGCTGCAGCTCTCACTATTGTTGTGAACACAGGTGTTGCAAACGGAGATGGTGGGTACAAACTTGGGTCCAGTTCCGTGCCAAGCCGTTAGCGATTGACAAACATGGCAGAGAAGAATCCTAGGATGTTTGGTGACGAGGAAGTTTGCACTGTGAACCTTAGCATCGCATTCCCAACAGAGGTTGGCTTGATCTGATTCACACAACACCTTTGCAGGACTGTTACAGAGATGACACTTCCTCATCTCAACCATAAACCTAAATTGTGTTTTCTCTCTGTTGTTAAGGCCACTCTTGAGGCTAGATATCATATATTAATTTGTGAACAAAAATAAACTATGATGTTTAGGCAAGTTGTTGTAACAATCCTCTCTTGTTTTTTCTTCCACAGATTTTGCTTTCTCGCTCTAAGGTGGAAAAACTTGCAGAAAGAGAGAAAAATGAAAACTGTGTAGTGTAACAGCTGATATTGGTCATTTAAAAAGAAAAAGTATTAGACCCTAAATGATCGGAAACTGAAGAATCTTGCTTGATGGCAACTAAGCTTATCTCTGTATAAAGTCAAATCAGTCCTCCTGGTGTCATTCAAATCTCAACAATATTTTAATTGGCACAATGCATATTTTGAAGACTGATTTACTGGTTGAATAAACATTTGAAGACCGTAATAATAATTAAAGACTAATATAATCACGTTGTATTCTTAGGGGCTAATTTAATTGTTTGCTCAGCAAAAAGAAAAGAAAACTACAGTTTATGAATTGTAGTCGAACACATTGATGATTCATTTTTCCAGATGTTGTCATGTTAGCATCCGAGTTTGAACTTGGTGAAGTCAGTTGAATTTGGTCAGGGAAAATAGGATGAAATCATTAAGACAAATTTCAACCAGCACAGTACTTAAGACTCAGAGTTGGTATGTAGGGATGGCATATATGTGTTTAGGAAAATTGGTGTTTGAAGCTAAAATTTAGCACTTCTTGTCAGTACAGAAAGCTTAAAAATATAATTTTAATTCCCTCACTGCTAACCCTAAAGCAATAAATATGGTAAATTCGCTTCCAATTTATGGCTATAATATGTTGGAGAAATTTGAGACTAATTTGGTTACAATGCATACACATGAGCGAAGATTGGATTAGATTTTCCGAAATTGCGTATCTGACTAATTTGAGTTATAATAAGTGCGAAACCCATTGACAAAATGATTACGATGCCATAAATTCCGTAACATAAGCCCAAGTGAGGAATATAAATTTGTTGCTCCATGTAGAGAGAATGAGGTAGATAAGACATTATTGAAGTGGCTTATTAGCAAAGCAATAACCAGAGGTTGCCACATCAGATGCCACTAATATCTTGGTTTAATTATTATCCTCATTGCTCACATTACAGAGCTTTAGTGAGGTGTTACTCTTTCTCAATGTGTGGTTGCTTCGTTGATAACAGTGTACGGATGCACTTAATTCTGTCCCTCTGAAATTCTGATGTGTTGCTTAGTCGAGCACACACGCTCACCCCAATTGGCCAAATGACACGTACCAGTACAGTGATGAATGAATTCTGTGGGCTTTATGAGTGAGAGGGTTGCCTCAATTCTGTCTTGGAGTAGGTGGTTTTGGTACAGAGGAGGGGAATTTGGCATATTCTATGGACACATCTGTTCAGCAATATACAAAATTGACCAAATTCGAGACCATAAATACTACTATTGGATCTTCTTGAAGTGGGAGTTTATACTTGGGAACAATTCAAAGTTACTTTCAAACCATTATACTCTAGATGTTCTCCTCAATGGAAAATTAAACATGTTTTCTCACATCGCAACCACATACCATGACTAAATCAAACCAGATTAGAATCCAACAACCAATATTACGAGAATGAATCAGGTGTATAAAATCAATTCAATTTCGGATTACAATAAAATTAGGACTCGAATCATTTCAAAATCAGAATCCTGCAATCAGCATCACTAGTTCAACACAATACTACATTCATTTTCCTTCTCTCTATGGTCACCTAATTTTATTATAGCGGCTAAAATCATGAACTAGATTACAGTATCAGATTATATCTCCAATGAAATGTACAATATCAGATAGATTCCCGTGTCCAAACTAACTTCAGAAAACGACAAAATATTAATTAACAATTTAATCCGTTTTTTAGTTGTTTTCTAGTTTTTTATTTTGCGATTACAATTATTGATTACTAACACTATAAATTAATAATTTTTATTTTCATAGCACAAGTTAATAATTTTTGTTTTTTCTATAAATTTGAAAGTTAAACTGATAAAATGTGTTATTTTTTATTTTTTTAATAATGTTATTTTATATATTATCTAATTCCATTTCGTGTACATATTTTTTTTTAAACTACCTTTAACCATGTTCATTGTTCTTACAAGAAAGATATACTACTACTACCTACAAAAATGTATCCAACAAAATTATATTTGCTTTCCATAATCTACACAACTTTGTTGGTTAAACTTTTATATAAAACAAAAAATCAATATTTTTTTCTCTATTTTTATTTCTTTATCTTTTTCATTCACTGTTATAAAAACCTATTACGAATCTCTAATCTTCTAAAAAAAATGAGATTGGAGACAACGTGGTTAGTATTATGCAAAATTTCAGGTCATAGTTTTACACTTTACAAGTTTTAAAAACTTCAAAATTAATTTAATTTAACACATTCAACAGAGATAAAAACACCGTTTCAATATAAAATTTAAATTCGTTCATAAAAGTAAATATTAATTGTAAAGAAATTGTAAAAATCTTCCATCTCCTAAAAAAATAAATAAAAATGTTCTAATTAATTTAATCGTCAGCGCCGTGCATTATAAAACGCTAACGCCGAAGCGTTTCAAATCTGTTGGGATTTTAGGGATTTGCGGTTACTGATCTCAGTGCTGTACCTCACTATCGCACTGATTGTGGGTTTTTTCTTCGGCGCAGGTTCCCTTCCCCATTTCCAGTTTTTTTGTTTTTCATTTGTCAAATTGAGAGAGACTTCAACGTGGTTTATTTGGTTTGCAGTTGAAGCTCTGAGAAAGGGTTTTCGTAGCCCCTCTCATGAAATTGTCGGTTAGTTTCTATTCAATTTTCATAGTTTGTATGCTAATGTTGCCGTGTGCTTCCACAACACAAAATTGTGATGTGATACAAAGAAAAGATTGAAAGATTTTGATTGCCAATGTATACAATTTTTTTTAATATTGTTGCTGTAGTTTTTATTTCAAGATTGTGGTTGCCACCTGGGTATGAGTTTAATTGAATTTCATTTGTGGAATATCAACCGTATTTCGGAGAATTTTATGAACGGATGTTACTTTTGGCAGGGTTGTTCAGTTCGTGAATAGATTGTTTCTTGTCCTAATAGTAGTGGATATTAAAAAATACCGAACTGCGTTAGGGGGAAAATGCAGAGTAAAGAAGCAGTCGTGGACGATGGGGAAATAACGTCGTCTTTGAATGTTGCAAACTCCGAATTCGATGAGTGGAACAATTTTGGGGACGATGACATAATGCAGCAGCAGTATACAATTCAGGCTGACGAAGCTAAGAAAGTTCCATTTGTGGGTGACAAGGCAAGTCTTAGTGGATAACTCTTTCATTTCTTATCTAGTAATTTAGGTTTAATTGGTATACAGCGTATCGTGCTAATTATTTTCCTTCAAACTCTGAATTTGACCCATCTGAGGTTGAGGAAAATGCTTCAAGTTATTACGTACAACTTACATTACTTTCTGCCCATTATAATTATTTTATTCTTTGCTACTTCTTTTCTGGATGGAAGGAGTGGACTATAATTTGAACAATGAGTGTATCTGTGTATGAACAATGATTTCATGTGAAAAATTGGCAGGAAACACTGAGTAGCTTAGCTGCTGAATATAAATCTGGCAGTCCTATCTTGCTGGAGAAAATAAAGGTTTACTAACCATTTATCTCAGCTTAATTTGTGCTTTATTTCTCCTTTCATCTTTCCATGTTTGTTGAGTTTTTTAATTACCCTTAACGCAGGTGCTTGAGGAGCAATATGCTGCCATTCGTCGCACTCGGGGAGATGGAAACTGCTTCTTTCGAAGCTTTATGTTTTCATATCTTGTATGTCATAGTTTATCTCTAGCTTAAAAGCATATCCATTACTTTACATTGGAGGGCTATGTGGGGTTTTATGAAGTCTGAAATTAAATTTTCCAATAACTTTGGCCAATGGTTGAATTGTCATGAATATTTTCCCCTCAGGAGCATATTATGGAATGTCAAGACCAAGCAGAAATCGATCGAATCCAGCCAAATATTGAAAAAAGTCGAAAAGCATTGCAGACTTTGGGTTATGCAGACCTGACTTTTGAAGATTTTTTTGCAGTAAGTTACCTACTGCAATTCCTTATCTTTGTGGGATACCCATGTCTGCCTATTTATTTTATATTAACATCTTACTATTCTCTTGGCAAAATTGCTTCACGCGACCAAAGTTTGAAATATGTTCTAAAATTTTGGCTGCTATTATAATGGAAATAGGTATATTGTGTTGGGAGTACTAAGACTATCTTCCATGGGAGTGCTTAAGAGGGTTGACTAATACTAAGCATTGTTGCTTAAATTCTTTTAGCATTAGAGCATACGAGCTAGTATTGGGTGTACTATTTTTGTATAGAAATAATACAAGCATTCGGTGTACTGTTTTTGTATGCAGATTATACAGGCACAGTTGCTTAAAAATTTTTGGGCGAAAAGAAAAATGTTATGGAAGAGAGAAATTATCAGATCAGTAAAACTAAAAGAACAATCAATTGTAGGATCCACAAATTTAGATTAAGCAACCACTTTAGTAACTTTACCATTGGAGTGAATTTTGATGATAGTGCTAAAATTCTATGTGGTACTACAAGGTCCACAAATTCAAGTTAAGGAATCCATTTAAGCAACCATGCATTGTGGAAGCTCTGATCTTTCCTAAACTTTGTCATGGTTGGAAGCAGAAATCAATACTTTTTATATCTAAAATAAAGCCCTTAAACAATGGGAAATGTTTGCACAGATATTCCAATTTTTCTATTTTATTTTCTTAACTGTCTTGTTAGTCATGTGATGTGAGAATTGGGTGATTACCTCTATTCACGCATTCAAAAGTTATTCTCCCACTTTGTTTGTGTTGGAATAAATTTGAACACTTCTTTTCTTGTATTTTTCCCCAAAAATTAAATTAAACCAAGTAGATTGCCTTAATTATCATGTGATTGATAGTTACCGTGTTTTATCTCATCGCTGCCTTTTCTTTATTCTTTTCTCGTTCCCTTCAAATCACCAAGAGCTTGATATCTTGTGAAATCTTATAAAAAAAAGGTAAACAACTTCAGTAGAAGCCATAAAGTTTGGGGCCTGAACAGTTACGTTATTATGCCTATGGACCCGGCAAAGTGCTTTACACAGATAGGAGCTAGGGTCTGGGTTGCCTTTTTGAACTGGAAGCAATTCACAACTTCTTGCTTTTCTTCTAAGTTTTAATTTTTCAAATGAAAATTCACCAAAGAGGGAAATACAAACTTGTCGTTGTTCAAATAAATAGGGAATTCATGCAATAGAAAAATATATGTTGTCTTAGTCTACAGAAAAATTTCTGCAGAGAAGATTTTGGAATTTTTTTGACATATTGTTCTTCTATTTGTCATGGTGAAAGTATAATCAAGGCTAGAAATACATGTTTAATGTTTCTAAGGTTTGTAATGGTGGTCAGGACCCTAGGAGTTTATATTTATTCTTCATCTGTAGAGGCATTTGCAAGATGTTAGAAAGCTCATATACACAATTAATTTTATCTTTTAAGCGTATGACTAAATTTACTTTTGATTAACTAAATTGTTGTGAAAAATTGCAGTTATTCCTTGAGCAGCTGGAGTGTGTTATTCAAGGGAAAGAGACGTCCATAAGGTATTAACGTTTTCCTTCACCACAAATTTGCCTTGTGTACAATCATGAACCAGAAGCATGATATGTTCCAATAATATTTATTTGCAGCAATTTTCTATTTATGTGATTTTTCTATTCTTTTCCTCTTTCTGCTGGGGTTTTGTTTGAATGAACTTTTCATTAATATGATCACAGTCATGAAGAGCTTGTTATTCGGAGCCGAGATCAGTCAATATCTGATTATGGTGAGTGACTTGAAACCTACCCCAAATGCCTTCATCTCATTTCTTCCACATGTCTTGACAAATTTGTTTTGTCAGTCGTTATGTTCTTCAGATTTGTCACCTCCGGTGAAATACAAATGCGCGCAGAATTTTTTGAACCTTTCATACTGGGCTTAACCAATACAACAGTCGAGCAGGTTTGTTCAATGTTAAAATATTCTATAATTCTTCCAAAAGTTGTTTGTGAAGTTAATATCTGGCAAAACAGAATCAATGTACCCATTAGTTCTATTGTTGAAAAAATGTCCATGGTCTCTGTCTTCTGATTTTAATGTATAATTCATGCTATTTATTGTGGTTTAGTTTTGCAAATCATCTGTTGAACCAATGGGTGAAGAGAGCGACCATGTGCACATTACTGCCCTTTCAGATGCATTGGGCATTCCAATCCGTGTTGTGTACCTTGACCGCAGCTCATGTGATACTGGTGGTGTCAGTGTAAATCATCATGATTTCATGCCAGTGGCTGGTGATCTCCCAAATGCTAGTTGTAGCTCCGAAAGGAACATTCCTTTCATCACTCTGCTGTATCGCCCTGGTCACTATGACATCCTCTATCCGAAGTGATGCTGATATTTTGGGCAAGAGACCATTTGGTACTTTTTTGGTGTTGGTGGTGCCGTAACAGCTCTGCACTCAATTCGGTTGCTAAAGGACATGTGTGGTCTGTTCCTTGTTAAGTTGAATGGTAAATTTTCTTGAATATTATCTGTTTAGAAGAGATTGATCAACAAAGCACGTCAACATTAACGCATTAACAATTAAACTCAGCTTGATACTTGGTGCTTTGTATGTTGGCCATGATTTCACTTTTCTCAAAATCTCTGCATGCGGTTATGGACTAGTGTGATAGCATGGCCCCTTGTAGCTTCTGTAAAATGAAGCACATGCAGTATCTCATTTTGGCGTTTCTGTTTTGCACGTGTGCGCATTTGTTGCATTAATTTAGCATAAATAACCATTTTGTCATTCATTTGTAGAACTAATGCTTAATTGGCTCTATGTGGGGTGTAGGGACTTGTATAGCGAGAGCTAAACAGAATTAATCTTTTTGGGCAAAAGGCAACGGGCTTGGCAGTTTTAAGGTTTTTACTTTTTCGTTTGGTCCAAGTCAGTAGTAAGTTTGTATTGACCAATAGAAGTCCTCCAATGGGCAGTTAAATCGCACGGCCTAGCCTAGTATAGAATAAAACGGAATGTCGCTTTTGCTTTTGTTAGTTTTCGTGTATAGAAAAAAACAACCTAGTTTCGTCTAATTGACCAGAGAAGAGGATGTTGAGGCAGAGTGAAAAGGGGTGTGTTGTGTTGTGAGGAAGAGAGTGGGGATGGATGAAGGAAAAGTAAAAGGGTTTAAAGGGAAAGGGAGGGGTAGATAGGTATTCCAATAAAAAAGTTAATGACATATTTACTTTCCACTAGCCCTGCATTAAATATTCGATAAGGAAAGTAGTTTTGACCAGCGCCTTCACACACATAAAAGGATAGTGGGAAAATGTTGTATCTAACTTTAGTTTATTTAAGACAGTCACTGTTTAAATTAATTAATTTTAGTTACACTTATAATTATTTGGCAGATGCATCTTATTTTTACCACCAAATAAGTACAAAATTAATAGTTTTTAAATAATCTCGTCTTCTTTTTTCATTCATTTATACTCTAATAAACAATTAAATATTGAATTATATTTTTTACCTATTTTTTCTCTATCTACTCTATGGATTGGGTACAATTCTGATATATTTTTTTATATGGTAATGGCCAAGCAAATCATTTTTTGCCTTTTACTATGGGTCTAAAATGTTTTTGTCAATGATATTATAATATTTTAAATATTTCCCCGAAAAGAAAAAGAATGTTTATGACTCCATGTACGTCATTTGCCAGTGTATACATTCATAAAATAAAATACGATAAATGTTCTCTTTTAAGAATAGGATAAATCAATACTTATTTATAAAATTTGATAAAATTATCTCTTTTCTTTTGTATATAATTTTAACCTTATTCAATACATAAAACTTCATGCTATTTGTTTATGCAACGACCTATTGCCATAAATCAAAATAAGTTTATATGTAGGATAAAAACAAACGCCGAATCGAGTGATATTGTCTTAATCCTGCGGTGTAATTTGTCCCGATAAAAGGAACGGAAAATAGGATATTGTATAATTTTCATATCTTTTAGTAATTCCATGTTCGGAAGTGGTTAAATTAAAATTATTTAAGTATGATAAATAGGAGGAAGGAGGATAATATATAATAAGATGAGTAATGTAATGAAAAAGATAAATAAAAAATATTATTGAAAAGTATTATTATAAAAAAGTTTAACTATATTTTTATTCTCTGAAATTTAGTTTAATTATACTTTAGTTTCTCAAATTAAAAAAATTAAGTCTAATGTTTTAAATTTAATAAAATAAAGTTTTAATTTTTAATATTAAATTTGAAGGAATAAAAACAATGTTAAAAAATTAGAGATAATTTTAAAAATTAAAATAAAATTTTCTACTGAAATTAAAATTATCCTAAAGTTTAGAGTCTAAAAATATAATAAGCCTTACAGTTGTATATGTAATAGAACTCCATTTTGGAATATACCACCATTTGAAACTTAGTGTGCCATCTAGGCTAAGGGTAGGAATTGAAAGCGTCTTCATTTAGATTTCTATAACCTTCACCACAAATTGCTTAATAGCGTTAAAACTATGTTGTTGACATAACCATTTTGCCTTTGGCACATGACACTAATTTACATGAAACTGAAAGTCGCCTACTCTGTTTAAGCTCTTTCTTTCTAATTTGCCTACATTACTTCTGGTTAGATTTCAATATTTTTATACAATAATTAATTGGTTGGAAATTTGCTTTGAATCTTTGGAATATTGCGAAATTGATAGGAACTTTGGATTACTTTTCTTCACGTCTGCAATTTTCCAGCACATAACTTTGACTGTTTTTGTCAAAATTAATTTTTTGTTAATATGATTTAGAGCAAGACTTAAACTTTAATTTCATCATAATTATTGATGCCAATCGGCAAGTATATAGAAAAAAAATGAAGACTAATAATAATAACTTAATTAGTGTTGACATTGTTGAATAAGAAAACTCCATCCAACAGTTGACCAGAAATCAAAATTAACACACCACAAACAGGTCCGTAGAAAAACAAAAGAGAAGAAAATAGAAAAAGCACCTTAGAACAGTAGAAGTAGAAGGAGGTGAGTGAGAGTGAAAAGAAGAGACTAAAGAGAAGGGAAAATGGCTTCCTCCAAAAGTTCCTTGGAATTGTTCATCAAAGCAGGACTCAACCTGAACATGAGGGTGCAGAACTCCATCTCATCCAGTGCTCCATCACCATCAAGATCACCTTCTCTTAGCATGCACCTTATCTCATCATCACTCATCCCTTCCAACCCAAGCAATGCAGAGTTCCTCTTCAAGCTCTCGAACGTTATCACCTTCTTCTCTCTGTCCATCAACAACTGAAAACCGTTCGTCAGCTCCTTCATGAACCCATCAGTGCCCAGTTTCTCCATCATTGCAGGGAAGTAGTCCTCAAAAACAACCGTGTTCTTCCTCGATGCCATCGCCCCGCAATGCAACACTAAACTTGCGTCCAAAAGGAAAGAAAGAAAAAAAAAGAAAAGAAATGGGGCTTGTGTTCTCTAGCGAGAATAATGGAGAAAAAGTTTTGGTGTGGGGAAGTTCTTAATCTGGGTACATGCATTTATATAGTGAGATGAAGAATGAAAGATAGTGTTGGAGGAAGGAGTGATGGTTGTGTTATTAGAAGTTGACAATTCAAGTACCAAGAGGGTTTTGAAAAGGAAAATGTTAAAATGTACATCTCATCTCTTTGGGGGGGGTGACGAGTAGGACAAAAAAGAACGAAAGAGAAATTGATAGGTCTCATAGATAATAGATGTGATTATAAATAAAGAATAGAAAAATAATGAAGTTGAAAATAAGTTAAAAGAAAAGAAAAAGCACTAGTAATATATTCATTTAACATGCTCTTTCAAACATTGTTGTGTCATTAGTTAGATTTTATTAGCAATCACAATTGAAAAGTGACATTTTTGAAACAAAAAAGTAACCAATTTTGGTAAAAGAGAGGAGAGATGGAGGAAGAATTATTGTGTAAAGGGGTTACTCCTTCGTGGAAGGTGCGTGGGAACCTCTGTAGTATGACAAATGAAGGTACAACATGCTCATAAAAACGACTCATGGAATTAGCATTTTCCTCTCTTTCAAGAGACATGAAAATTTGGTACTTTCTTGGGTTTTGGACCATCCTTCGCAAATCCAAACACGAAAAGGTAACAAACAACGAAAGCAAGAAGAAACCGTGAGATAGCTATGTAGTCCAAAAGAGTTGACCCACCCAAGTTGGATTAGGTGTTTAACAACGATACTTGTACTCCAATTTGGATCACACAAATTACACCACTAACATTTTTTTTGAATTGCAATGCTTCAATTAGAGTACTTTTTTGTTCAAGGACTCATAACATATTGGAATCCTTTGTCTTAAGAAGACCATAACTTTGTTATATTACAGTTAACTTCTTTTTCATGCCGTGATGGAATAATGCATATTGGAAAAAGAAGGAGCAATTTGCTTTGTTGGTTTCCTTCTGAGAAGCCATAATTTGTAAAACTTTTTGATGGCTGTATAGAAGGGAAAAAGGAAGAAAAGAAGGTCGGATAGGGAAGGTGCCGAGTTGCTATAAAGAGAAGAAACAAAGGAGTCAAATCATAGAAATTTCATGTAGTTTTCGAAAGTTTGGATTTAACTTTGTGTTTACTCAGATTCTATCTTAGTGGGTTTGGTTTGTACAGTTACGTGGCTTCTATGAAACATGGTTTTGGCAGAAAGTAAGAACTTTGTACGGCTTCTATGCGAGACCAATGGGGCCTACTAAAGCCATTCATATGGTATCCTATAAACAAAATTAATGTCCCCAAAATTACTATCAATCAATCAAATCATTCATGATTGTTACCGATCCAAAATTTTGGGAATAAATTTCCCTTTTTCGATCAATGAAAATTTAAATGGAAATTGAAGGCGTTTTCGTTATTTGCTATCATAGTGATAAAAGAGGAAAGGAAGAAAAAAATTGTAGTTTGTAAAAGACAAGTGAAGAGAAATTAAAAAAAAAAAAGTGGATCCCACAGATGATGGAAACATGCAAATGATAGTGGATTTGCATGCAATGCAAATAATTAAACAGATATCACCTGTCCAGAAAGTTTCTATTCTTCTAGTGTTATTGATAATATTAATTTAATTTTATTCTAATTTTTTACGAAATAACATTCAATTTTATTCTATTTTATTTTCTCACCTATTTACTTCTTTCTTATTTAAGAAATAATTAAATATTTATGTATTTAATTGGCTAACTCCTATAAAAAAATTTGAGTAAAATGGAATTTATTTTATAATTATATTCATACTTTTTTATTACGGCCAAAATAGGGGCGAACATTCATACTTATATTTTCAATAAAAATATTTGATAATAAACTTCAAATGAAAAAAACTAACTTAAAGCCCAAAAGTAATAATGAATATAATGGTACAAAAATATACTATAAGAGGGCTATCATAGATCAATAATATAATCAATATAGTCTATTGCTAAAATAATAAAATAAATATTATAACTATAAATATTATAATGATTAAATCATCTAATATAAAACTACGATAAGAAACTAAATCATTATTTATCATTCACAATATTTTATCTAATAATAAATAAAATAAGAAAATTCTAGGCTATATAAAATTAATAAATTTTTACCTAAAGACTGAAAGAATAGCAAAACATACAGAATAAAAAAAATGCTTTATATAAAAATATTAATAAATTGTTTAAAAAGAAGAAAAATATAAAAAAGTTAAAACTTTACAAAACATCATTTCAAATTGTATTTCCAAAAAAAGTTATAAGTTATTAAAAAATATATTTACTAAACGTAAGTACTAAAGTTGATAAACTTTAAATTTTTTGTCAACCTTATAACTTAATCATTGTGAAACAAAATTTGAAACTATTGTCCTGATAATATGTTAATCATTTGCCACGTAAGGACATAGGTCAGCATGACTCATGGAGTTCTAAATTCTAATCCTTTTCTTGGCCATTGGATGCAACATTTCTGGCTTCATATGCTCCTTTTTGCTACCATTTTTTTTAATAGGTTTAAGTAACATCAAAACAGGTTTAATGTTAAATAATACTTATAAATTATTTTTTAGTAAAGTCCTTACTTCCCCAATTAAATCCACCTTCTGAATTATGAATTTAATTTTTACTAATTAGATTATCTTTTATTTTTGAAAATTAATTTTTGTTTATAATTTTTAATAACATATTCCTTTTATTTTAATTTAATTTAAAATACAGTATATTGTTATTTATGTTTGCATTAGATAAACGTAATTTATTTATTTAAATCATGATAATATTTTGATAAATTATTGTAATATTGTCAAATGTATTCAAATAAAAATGGGTTAATCAATCCATAATAAATTATTGCTATTAATTTTTTAGTTTAACCATATGCAGTACATGAAAAATTATATAAATAATCTATTACTAGGTTCTTTAACTTCATTTTCAGTGTAGGTAATTTAGAAAAAGTGAATTTTAAAAAACAATTATAGATAAATTAAATATATATATATATATATATATATATATATATATATATATATATATATATATCTGGATAAGTCTAATTATAAGCACGACTTCAATATAAAAAATTGGTGTTTCGATTTCAATTTTAAAGAAATCGTATTATTTAATACTACTTCTACTATTTTATTATAATAATAATTATTATTATTATATTATTATAATAATAATTATTATTATTATATTATTATAATAATAATATTTGTATATTATTAATAAAATTAATTATTAATATTTTATTATACTAATAATATTTTATTATAATAAAATATTATTATATTAAAATAATATAAAAAAATAAACTAATATACAAGAGCCTCGGTTTATTCTTTAAATTTATGACATGAGTTTTGATTTGGTTTCCATATATTTTGTATTTTTTTTCTTCATTTTCATCTATTTATATAAAAAAAAATTATATTCGATATGCTAACCTAATTAAGATATCTCTTACATTAAAGTGTTACATATAATTTTATTAAAAAAATATATAAATATATAAATAAAATAGAAAATAATTAAATATATTAAATTTTTTATTATAAATTATAATAATATTATTTTTTTAAATATAATTATAATAATTATTAAAATATAATAATTAAAATAATATATAATAATAACAATTTTTTATTATATAATTTAATTATTATTACTATTAAAAATAAAATAAATAATAATAATAAAAATATTTACATTTTAATATAATAATACAATAATATAATAATTATTAGTTTTAATAATAATATTTTTTATTATTTATTTTATTAATAAAAAAAATTATTATTAATTATAATAATAAAAGTAATACTACGAGTTTTATATAAATTTTATATACAAATAGTATTATTTAGTGTGAATTAGTCTTAAATCTAAAAAAAAATCCATAATATTTTTAAAATTGTCCTATTCTGATAAATTTTTTAAAAAATTGCATCATCTCAGTGAAAAAGCCCTCTTCCTCTCCAGTGGTTTAATAATAACAGCTTGTCTTACCCTTATTAAATGAACTTTTCAATAAAGATGAGAAAAAATATTTTTTTATATATTAAAATTAAATTATGTATGACTTAATTTGTAAAGGTTGTATGTATCATATAATTTTTTTTAATATGTTTATAAGTTATTTCATTTATATTTTTTAATTTTCTTTTCTCAGTTATCGGAGGAAATCTCATCCAAAACAGGTTTTTGGTCTTCAAGATGTATCTAATATTGCAACAAATTCTAGTCCTCAACTCCTAGATTATGGAAACCATTGTCCTTGTCGAGGCTGCCAAGCATCCTAAGGATTATTGGCTACAAAACCTGAAATCTCTAAGTGTGAAAGTGCCCAGAGTCAAAATGAGGGTGTAAATTGCAAAAGAGGATTACATTCTTAACAAGCTAATAAGTTCCAGATTTGTAGAGGGGTTAAAACAGAAGACAAATACAGAAGCCAGTGCATGAAGAATGGAAATTGGAGTGGGAATACCATTGTAATGAACAGATTTACAATGGAGGCTTTGACCTATGTATTCATCTATCCTTTTCAGACCTTGGCATGCAATGATATTGTGATTGTTTGTTGTTGTGCTCTGCCCAATACTTTTCTTTTAATGGGGGTTTGGACTAAACCTGTCGTTGTGCTGTGCTTTTCTACTGAAATGCAGATAAAAACAGAGATATCATTACCATCATTAAACATTAGGAATGATTATAGTTGTCAGCTATGCATATATCTTGAGTAAACGCTGGTAATTATATATCAATATTTTTCTTTCTTTGGTCTTTTCATAAAGCTTAATTCTTCTGTTTTTGACGGAAGTTATAAATGTATAATAACATCCCCAAATGAATTCTCATTTAAGGCTTGCTTTGCAATTCTGTCCACTGTTTTATGTTAATCAAATATGTATTGAAAACTGTTCTTACTTCTGAGATATTTGCAAGTCTCTATTCCTGCTAAATTAGCTATACTAACTTAATAAAGCAGCTAGAAAGAAAAAGGAAGAGTGAAGGGGTTTTTGTATTATGGTGGCGAGGACATTGGAGAGCCGTCACGCATTGAAACTCTAGGAGCTATTCTCAATTGATGCTGAAAATCTTGCAATTGCTACAAACAACTTCCACTTGTACTGTGTAATGTTTTCTAAATTTAATTATATTTTCTACTCTGTAAGTAAAAAAATATCATACAACCAAGTTCATCTCATTGACAATTTATTTTCTACCTCAATTCCTCAAGCAAATGCTTTTCTCCAAACAAGGTTTATAATCAACTTTCTTTAGGGGAAAATTTGCCACATTTTCTGAATGGTGGAGCAAGAGGCAGATATATATATACAGTACTTTCTGGGTTTTGTATCTTTAAATGATGTGTTATGTGACGCGCTGTTGTGCTTTCTCTGGGGGTGTTTGGCTTATTTTTGTGGGCTTGTCTGGCTCTTCTAATTGTATCTTTTGTTTTGGCAGGGGAGGGCACACCTTTTGCAACCTTGACCTCTTTATCATTAATATAGTTTTTGTTTGCTTCTAACATATTAATGGAAACCAGTATTTTTCGAACAAAGACAAATTTGATAAGGTTAAAACTGAAAGTTAATTTATAGTTTTTTTCTGTTTTTAATTTATTCTAGAAAACTACTTCACGTCATGTTTAGATTATTGATTTTCACAATATAACATACATGAATACATGAATTATAATATGAAGACTAACTTTGATCCATGAGAGTTTGTTCTTTAACTCCAACTTTCTTTTCTCAATCTACCTCTTTGTCTTTCTTTCTCTTTTCACGTTTTCCCGATGATTTATCGTGAAAAAATCTTATGCTCGTAAATAGAACCCTAATCCTTTTTATTAACCAACATCCATCAAGTTGATTATCATAAGTTTTTATTTTATTTTATCATTATTTTATTCTGACTTTACATAATAACTAATAGATTCTTATATTTTATTAAATCATATTTGGGTCTATCATTATATTTCACATGAGTCACGTAATAAAATGAATTAAATAAATTAATTTTAACATTCTCTCCCTCAACTCATGTGAAGTTATATGATTCCGTGATTTAATACTTAAATCATAATGCGCATTAAAAGACTTTACATAAATTGGTTCTATTATTATTCATAATTAAAGATAAAGCTATAACAAAAGTCATGGCGGTTACATGTCATTCAATCGACTTGCTCCCTTATGTACTACTATATTATCTCTTTCTCCTTAATATGACTTTATAACAAGAAGTCCATAATGAGTTCAAACATAATATCATCTCAATAATAATAACATAATTTATTTTCTTCCTCATAATTTATATGCATATAAATAAAGAAGAAAACATAAATTTCAGAAACTTATACTTTAAAGATCTCGAGGTGTCACATAAACATTAATAATAACATTAACATTCAACATTCACTATTAGTAAACATAAACCCTAACTATGAATTTAGGAATTTCTCTATCAGATTAGCATAAACTCTAATTTATTCTCAATTTTTTTTTCACAAAATTGAATAAAGGAATAAACCCTAATTATGTTTTCAAGTTCAAATTGAAACCAATTTTTTAGCCCCTATGCGTGAATGACCCCGATTTTAATTGAAAAGACAAATGACGTGATTGAGTTAGAGTGAATCATGTATGAAATTAGTTTCACTGTATATTATAATTATGATGGAAGAAAGGTAAATGATGAAGTTGATGTTTTTACTGGCAAGTGCTGTCAGCATGCATCATGCACTGTGTTCACAAAACACATCTACCAAACTCATGTTCTTTTTTATTATGTATGATTATTATATGTCGTTAGAGTTTTTTTTATAGTGAATAATTAGCAATTACGTTAGATCTACGTATTATTTTGTTCACGTATTATACGTGTAGTAAATGTTGTTGGCAAATTTTGGGTCATGTATATATATGATACATATTTAAATGTGTTAGGGTCATTATTTATTAAGCCAAATAATAAAGTGATCTGAATAAATTAAAGTTTTGGCTAAAGGCATATGTCATGACAATATGATTGTGTAGAGACCATAGAGTAATTTTTAATTTGATGAGGGGCCAAATTGAAAATACTAAAACTTAAGTAATTAACCTAATTTTGGTTATGTAAAGGGTCATGGTCCCCTTCTGAGAGCACACAGACAGAACAAAGTTACAGTCCCGTTCCTTTCTCTCTATCCCCATCAAGAGAGAAAATCCATAGGGAAATACAGGTTCTCTTCAGGTGGAAGACCATAAGATCAAATCAAAGGTGCTCTACAAATAATATCATCATTATGGCTAATTCAGGTACGCTTTCGCATTTAGTTCATAACATATTTACAGTATGGGATTATATATGTATGTTTGATCATAAGGAAGAAGATCATATTCAATTAAAGTTTAACCTAACAATTGGTATCAGAGCAACCCATACTTGATTTATGTTTGCATTTGAAAATGAGATTCTGCCTAATTAAGAACCTAATTGGAGAATAATCTTCAAATTTTATGAACTCTAGATTTAAATTTGAGGTAAATTCCCAAATTTTAAAACCTAATTTCGGATTTGAGGGTAAAACCCCCAAACCCGTTGGATCTCTCTGTGACGCGGTTTGAGCGTTATATTCGGCGTTCGTCGAGAATGTGGCGAGCTTGGTTGTTCTTTGAGGCTCGCGCTTAAACAGCATCATTCACGATCGTGGTTTAGGGTTTGGATTCGGAAGCTTGTTGGCGCAAGATGCATCCTCGTATTGATCATGTCGGTCGCTCTATTCCTCTCCGCGATGTTTTGGTTGCGCCCTGTTTGAGCCTCGCGGATCGGAGGAACCAGCATGGAGGTTCCAGATTCAAAGGTGGGGTCTTGTGGCTGGCGGCTTTGTCTCATGGGGCTAGATCCATGCTATTATAATTTAATTATAAGCGTAACCCAACAAATGTGCAGTTCCATTTAGACCAAATCCGGTTACTGGTAGCTCATGAGACTCAATTGGCAATATATGACGCCTCAAAGATGGATCGGATTCGGCAGTGGGTTCCTCAAGATGTTCTGGCTGCTCCCATAACATATGCAGCTTATTCCTGCAATAGTCAGTTAATTTATGCTACATTTTGTGATGGCAACACTGGGGTTTTTTTTTGATGCCGACAGCTTGAGACTGAGATGTCGTATTGCACCATCCGCATACTTCTCACCTGCGGCTTTAAGTGGGAAGCAATCTGTGTATCTTGTTGTTGTTGCGGCTCATCCAGTAGAGCCCTATCAATTTGCCGTAGGACTGAGCAGATTCACGATTTGCATTGGCCACAGATTGATTAATTAATTAATTAATTTCCGTTGCGAAATTGGGATTCTTCACCGGCATGATCCTTGGTATCGACATTGGTATCGTATTAATAGTCGCTTTTGCTCGTCACGAGAACGTTCGATCCAAGCATCGCTCCGATTTGGCGAAGACGATAGCAGAGTTTGCGAGGATGACGGTGGAAGATTCCAGAAAACTTTTGCCTTCTAAGTTTTATCCATCATGGGTGGTCTTCACTAAGAGACAGAAGTTAAATTGGCTTAATACCCAACTCAGGAGGATTTGGCCACACGTTGATGAGGCAGCGTCAGAATTGATAAGAACCATTGTGGAACCAATTCTTGAACAATATAGGCTGATTATTTTGTCTTCTCTCACATTCTCCAAGTTGACCCTTGGCACTGTGGCTCCACAATTTACAGGAGTTACAATTGTTGAAGAGCACAGTGGGCCTGATGGGGTGACTATGGATCTTGAGATACAATGGGATGGTAACCTGAATATCGTTCTTGACATTAAAACCCGAGTTGGTGTTGGACTTCCTGTACAGGTAAAAGATATTGGATTCACTGGGGTTTTTAGGTTGATCTTCAAACCACTAGTGAATGATTTCCCTGGTTTCGGAGCTGTTTGTTTTTCCTTGAAAGAAAAGAAAGATCTGGATTTTACTCTGAAGGCTATTGGGGGTGATTTATTAGCTTTACCGGGGATATCTGATGCTATAGAGGAAACAATTAAAGATGCGATTGAAGACTCTATAACTTTGGCCTGTACGCCAAATTATACCAATTTTACCGGGGGATTTCTTGTTTAATGAATGGCAGTGGTGGATTCCGTGCCATTATAATTTTTTTTTTATATAAATAAATAATATATAAATTTGGTTTAGGGTTACCCTTATTAATATATTCAATTTGTTTGGTAGTTTAATATTTTTTTTTAACAAATTGAGTCAAGAAGTTACCAAAGTAACCTCTCTTGAATTGGGCAGTTCATGAAAAATATTGAATGTTAGTGTTTTGTGTATATTCATGCGAGTATTAGTCGGCCCAAAGGAAGATTAATA